CTCCAATCCTGTGCTTTTACTCCAACCCTTTGATTTTAATCCAACCCTGTGATTTTTACTCCAACCCTGTGATTTTACTCCAACCCTGTGATTTTACTCCAACCCTGTGATTTTACTCCAACCTTGTGATTTTACTCCAACCCTGGGACTTTACTCCAACCATGTGATTTTACTGCAACCCTGTAATTTACTACAACCCTGGGATTTTACTCTCTGATTTTACTCAAACCCTTAGATATTACTCTAAACCCTGGGATTTTACTCAAACCCTGAAATTTTACACCAGCGCTAGGATTTCACTCAAAATTAACCCTGGGGGTTTACTCCAACCTGAAAATTTTACTCCAACCTGAAAATTTTAATCCAGTCCTATGATTTTAATCAAAACCCTGGGATTTTACTCAAACCCTGGGATTTTACTCAAACCCTGGGATTTTACTCAAAACCTAGATTTTAATTAAAACTTTGGGATTTTACTCCAACCCTGGTATTTTATTTCAACCCTAGGATTTTACCCAAAACCCTGAGATTTTACTAAAAACACTGAGATTTTACTCCAACCCTGGAATTTTACATCAACCCTGGGATTTTACTCCAACCCTGTGATTTTACTCCAATCCTGGGACTTTAACACTGATTTTACTCCAACCCTAAGATATTACTTTAAACCCTGGGATTTTACTCCAACCCTGTGATTTTACTCCAACCCTATGATTCTACTCCAACCTTGTGATTTTACTCCAACCTTGTGATTTTACTCCAACCCTTGAATTTTACTTCAACCCTGATTTTTTTACTCCAACCCTTGGATTTTACTCCAACCATGTGATTTTACTGCAACCCTGTGATTTTACTACAACTCTGGGATTTTACTCTCTGATTTTACTCAAACCCTTAGATATTACTCTAAACCCTGGGATTCTACTCAAACCCTGAAATTTTACTTCAGCCCTAGGATTTTACTCCAACCTGAAAATTTTTCTCCAGTCCTATGATTTAAATCAAAACCCTGGGATTTTACTCAAAACTCTGGGATTTTACTCAAAACCCTGGGATTTTACTTAAAACTCTGGAATTTTACTCCCACCCTGGGATTTTACTCAAACCATGAGATTTTACTCCCCCCTGGGATTTTACTCCCACCCTGGGATTTTACTCTCTGATTTTACTCAAACCCTAAGATAATACTACCATAGGTATTTACTTAAACCCTGAAAATTTTACTCAAACCCTAGATTTTACTTAAAACTCTGGGATTTTACTCTAACCCTGGGATTTTACTCCAACCCTAGGATTTTACCTAAAACCCTGAGATTTTACTCCAACCATGGGATTTTACTCCAACCCTGGGATTTTACTCTAAACCCTGGGATTCTACTCAAACCCTGAAATTTTAAACCAGCCCTAGGATTATACTCCAACCTGAAAATTTTTCTCCAGTCCTATGATTTAAATCAAAACCCTGGGATTTTACTCAAACCCTGGGATTTTACTCAAACCCTGGGATTTTACTCAAACCCTGGGAATTTACTCAAAACTCTGGGATTTTACTCAAAACCCTGGGATTTTACTCCCACCCTGGGATTTTACTCTCTGATTTTACTCAAACCCTAAGATAATACTACCATAGGTATTTACTTAAACCCTGAAAATTTTACTCAAACCCTAGATTTTACTTAAAACTCTGGGATTTTACTCTAAACCCTGAAAATTTTACTCAAACCCTAGATTTTACTTAAAACTCTGGGATTTTACTCTAACCCTGGGATTTTACTCCAACCCTAGGATTTTACCCAAAACCCTGAGATTTTACTAAAAACACTGAGATTTTACTCCAACCATGGGATTTTACTCCAACCCTGGGATTTTACTCCAACCCTGGGATTTTACTCCAACCATAGGATTTTACTCCAACCCTGGGATTTTACTCCAATCCTGGTATTTTACTCCAACCCTGGGACTTTAACACTGATTTTACTTCAACCCTAAGATATTACTTTAAACCCTGGGATTTTACTCCAACCCTGTGATTTTACTCCAACCCTGGGATTTTACTCGAACCCTGGGATTTTACTCTAACACTGATTTTACTCCAACCCTGGGATTTTACTCCAAACCTGTGATTTTACTCCAACCCTGGGATTTTACTCCAACCCTGTGATTTTACTCCAACCCTGGGATTTTACTCAAACCCTGTGCTTTTACTCCAACCCTGGGACTTTACTCTAACACTGATTTTACTCCAACCCTTGAATTTTACTCAAAACCCTGGAATGATTCTTGAAACAATAACCACAAATTCCCCAAGTTCTGGGATTTCCATAATGGGGTCTGCCTTTTTTGTGCTGTCAATATTACCAAAGAAATTGAGAATTTCGTTCAGATTTCAAGGTTTTAAAATTAAAACCAAAACTGTCGAAATCTAAACAACAGCTAGAGGTGTTTTGTGACTGTTGATTCCAGGATTTTACTTCTAATATTTGATTAACGCATAATTGCCGTAAAGATCGAAAGACGACCTTTAAGTCGTCTTTCAACTGTCAAGTTTCGTTGGACACCCTGTAAAAGACATGAATCAACCATTTCATGGGTTGTTAGAGTTATGGAATTCTCTGAATAAGGAAATGAATGAAGATATTAATAAAATACTTTATTTATTTAAGATTTGAGCAAAGAGAGAGACAAATTTATATTCATACAAAACTATTTTATCATAGATAATAAGCACTTAGAACCTTAGAGTAACAAAAATGGTTAGACAAACTTTTGTTCGGCTTATTAGATCGAAGACGACCTATAAACTCGTTTATTACAGGGTTACTCACAAAGAATGACACTTTAATTATTAGGTTTACCAATATATTGGTAAAGAAAGTAACACGTGTAAAACTGTAGGGAACCATCAAGTCAAGAAAAATGTGTGCAGTCGTCTCTGAAGTCTAATCCTTTGATGGTAAACCTGTTTATTTAAATTTTTAGTATCATTCATGATTATAAATAACAAAAAGTATGATTGTCTCTTTAATTTGATAGACTTAGATAATTTTTAAACTAATATGTGAAATCTTCGAAATGTTTAAAATAACAGATACATAATTAATATTTCAAAATATACAAGATGATCTATATATAGGACTTGGAGAAAGTGCCAAAAAATATTAATTACGTACATTTTGTTTTTCAAAATGTTAAATTAATGTTAAATTAAATGTTATTTGACTATTGTTTCCGTTTCAAAAAAAAGAGTTCATTTTAAGGATCACCCGAAAGTTGATTGGTCCGTAAAATACATTTTACATGTACAGTACATATGCTTGAGATAGAGAAATTGTCACTTTACATTTCAGAAAAAAAAGAACAAAAAGGGCGCCAGAGCTGGGAACTATTACAAACAAAACAAGATGGAAAATATTTTTGAAAAGTTAAAAAATTGTATTTTTTGAATACTGATATTGGTAATTTATACTAAAGAAATAAATCATGATATTTTTTAATTTTTAACATTTTTTTATGTTTAGATTATTAATAGAGCCTTTTAAAATTTTTCCAAAAAACAAACATTTTTATCATAACATTATATAGAGATACAAGATTTGATCATTAAAAAAATGAATGTTTTGGTCACTTTTGCATAGATATCTATCAGGCACCATTATCCAACAAATGTTTATGTCATTAAAACATTGAATAACTCTAATTTTCTATTGTAAGTGAAATTAAATTAACGGAAGGAATAAGCATTTTAAATTTTGAAAGAAACAAATAAATGATGAATTAATTATTCAAGATTTAGAAAGAAAAAAATAAACGGTGTATGCCTTGCAAGTCAGAACAACAAAAGATATGTATGACGAAATTCGAAAATGCTCAACATTTACAATTACACCAAGATTTGAAGTAAAATTATTTTCTTGTAAATCTAAGAAAATTCCATAAAATATATTTTTGGGAAAATGTTAAAATAAATTATATATACGCAGCGTAATACAGGGTGTCCCACGAAACATGACAATAGGAAGACGACTTGAAAGTCGTCTTTGGTATTTGAATTTATTTGTGACATTTAGTCTTCTATCTACTTTAACGTGCATGATTCTTGAAACAATTATCACATAATTCTCCTAGCCCTGGCATTTCCAAAAAGTGGTCTGCGTTTTTTTTGCTTTCAATATTACCGGAGATATAAAGAGTTTGGTTCAGATTTCAATTTTGTTAATTAAAAGCAAAATTGTCGAAATATGAACGAAATTCTTCATATCTCGGGCAATATTGAAAGCACAAAAAAGGCAGACCACATTTTGGAAATGGCAGGACAAGGGAAATTTGTGATTATTATCTCTAGAAATTCACTTCTAAAATTAGATTGACAAATAAACGCAGCAAATTATATCAAAAATCAAGACGACATTCAAGTCGTCCTGCATACTGTCATGTTTCGTGGGACACCCTGTACCTCCATGGTTAACAATTGCAGAGAAAAAACACTTGTTCCTATTTATAAACATCTAACATGCATTGAGCAAGATATGATATAAAATACAGTGTGTCCCAAAAAACATTACAGTTTGTGAATAGTTTTGAATGTCTTCTTCCATATACTGTATTAGATATTAAAGACTTTTTGTAGTTTATTTTGTTAAAAAAATCTTTTACTCAAATATATTTTACTTTGAAATCAATTATTATACTTTATCATGACTCCCAAACAATATTTTTTATTATTCTCTTTGCTATCAAACAACTTAACAAATTATGGAAGAAGATTTCACCAACTGTCATGTTTCATGTGACACCCTGTACAACAAAGAGAAAACTAAATGAAGATACAAGGTCAGACAAAATGCATGAAACTGAAATTAAGACCTGGAACTTTTAAAACTGGAAACCATATGTTCGTGATCGATATTAATTAGGCGCGTTATATAGACAGGGTTACCAAAAAGAATCCTGCACAGAATTCATTAAGTCGTCTTTATTAAGCAGCCGCTTATTTCTTTATATATATTGCATATTAGTATTATGAATATTCATTCAAGAATGGGAGACAAAATTCAACCTCCGATTTTTCGTGGATTTCAAAGATTTCATTATAATTATAGAAATCTCATCCATTGTGGGCAACCCTATCTATAACGCGATATTAATCACCAAATATAAACTGCAAAAAGACTCACAATACTTCGACCAAAAAATAATCAAAATGAAATAATATCATGATTTGATTCAATTAATTCTTAGCCTTGTGTTAAGTACAAGTTAAAATGTCGTCTTCTTTCCAGAGAAAATATTGTAAACAAAGATATAGGGGTCATTATTAACGATGAATCGTTCTATGGTCCGAAAACATACAGTGAGAACCAAAAAACTGTGGAATAAAAGGATGACATTAAGGCAATATTTAAAGTGTATAATAGCAAAGGGAAATGGTCTGTTTACACTGCACAATTGCTGTGTCTCATGTACAACTGCAATGGACTTTTTTAAATCATAACTTAAGTCGACTTTCTATTCCAGAGTTTTCTAGTTCTCATTATATTTAACAAATCATGCAGAATTATGCATAGAAAAATCAATCTTCAAAAATGTTTCATTAAATGATATGATGACGAGATGGAAATAACAATAATAAAAACATAAAAATAAAAGTGTAATCTCCTCTTGATCCTACATAATACTTGTTACAGCCTGAAAAAGTATTTACAACATATAGAGTATTTACTATATAGAGTATTCACTATATAGAGTATTCACTATATAGATTATTCACTATATAGAGTATTCACTATATAGAGTATTCACTATATAGAGTACAGACCATATAGAGTATTCACTATATAGAGTATTCACTATATAGAGTACAGACCATGCAAAAGTATCGAATTACCTATAAGTTACCCACAAAAAAATACCCGTAAGAGAAGACTGCAAATTTACAAAATCATTTAATATACCGTCAGAATACTATATTTGGGACAAAAACCAAAGTTTTAAACTTTTAAGATTTTAGTTTTAATAGTTGTTACTTCTTATTTTTTTGTGGGTAGCTACAGTAGTAACCAGAAAACTCTGAAATAGGAAGACGACTTTTAGACTGAAAGTATGACATTAAAAAGTCGAATGAACAAAAAAACAGCAATTTTTTCGTGTAAACAGAGCCATTTCACTCAATAAGGGATTTATAATAAGTGTCTAGTAAATCTATTTGCTATGTAAGAACATCAGATACACTTAAATTTTACTATAATGTCGTCTTCCGATTCCTCGGTTTTTTTTGGTTTTCACTGTATGTCCTAGCTCATGCAAAAGTATAGTAGAATAATTTGCTCGACCATGCAAAAGAAGTCCATATTTTACAATGCAGATTTCAGGAGCTCAAAGGTTACCCATAAAGGATGAGACTTCAGAGACGACTTTACGGAGTTTATATTCCTTATTATATTATATTTCCTTATATTCACGATATTTTGCAATTTTGCTCTTTCAAATCGTTAAAAAGGCCATACAGAGATTTTAATTTAGACAGTAGAATTAATTTAACCTTCGTCATATTAGATGAGTTTCAGGTCGTCTTTACAGTCTCATATTTTGTGGGTAGTATATAATATTTTTTATAACATATAAATATATATGTATATAATATTTTTTATAATATATGTATTTAATTCTTATTTGTTTTGTTTCTTGTATCCAAAACACAAATCAATAAATATTTAAAGTTCTAACTATAAAAATCGCTTGAAACTTGATATTTTTGAACGACGAAGAAATTTTCAGCAAGCAGTTTTTTTGCGAGATAAAAAAGTAAAATAAAAATATTATAAAAAGAAATATTTTGTCTTGATATTAACTAAACATGCAAATTCAAAAACATGCAAAAAAACGAGCATTTTCCGCATGCTAGAGAACCCAGAAAATTGCACAAACAATATTTTTATTGATATATCATGATTATAAAGCACCTTTAAATAATCAAGAGTTTAAAAAAAGATTTTTATTCTTAAAAATCTTAATCTAGAAGCTTAATGGAAGAAAAAGGCAGAGAACTTGTTTATAGAAGATTAAAATCTGAAAAGTTGAAATATACATATAGTAGCGCGGAAACATACTAAGTCTTTAAAATGTCGTTGTCATAAATATTCGAGAAGTTTTGACTTTCATAACAATTAATGAAATAAAACAGCAAAATATACGATTTAAATGGTTTCATTTAGAAAAGAGAAAAATGATTTTGTTTTTTAATCTTTCTTTTAATTCTAAAATGTCGCGGAAGATTTTTAAATTTGTAAATTTTTAACAAATGCAGTTTTTGTTCAGAGCTCATGTTTTGAGATAAATCAGTCACAATTTACAAAAAGTTTTGCGACATTGTATAATCAAACATGTAATGAAGACGACGGCATAACTGCTTAGCAGAGAATTTTTAAAAAGAGTTAATTGTTTCTTTTAACAAGCTGTAATGTGATCCTTACCAATTAGCTATTGAATACCTCTATGAGTTAGCTATTTAATTATTTAATATAGCTGAAGACTAGGATTCTTAGCAATAGCTAAGTTAGCTTGTGCAGAGCTTTGTCAAGTTATAGCTTTTTTTTAAATCACTCCACGCCACTCCGGGAAAATCTACGAATTGCACTTGTAAGTGCTATTCTATGAATGAGTGATGTTTGCCGTAGCAAAGGCTAGCTCAGCTATATCAGCACAGGTGCGCCAGTTCACTACCTTCCCTTCAGCTGGGGGCTTCTTCAGTCTTACTAGATACATCTTCATACCCAGATACTTAAGTAGCAGCTTCCTGAACAGATACATATTTATAAACCCAGATACTTTAGTAACAGCTTCCTAAACAGATACATCTTTAAATACCCAGATACTTTAGTCACAGCTTCCTAAACATATATATATTTAAATACCCAGATACTTTAGTAGTACTTTCCTAAACAGATATATCTTTATATACCCAGATACTTTAGTCACAGCTTCCTAAACAGATATATCTTCATATACCCAGATACTTTAGTAGCAGCTTCCTAAACAGATACATCTTCATATACCCAGATACTTTAGTAGCAGCTTCCTAAACAGATACATCTTTATATACCCAGATACTTTAGTAGCAGCTTCGTAAACAGATACATATTTATATACCCAGATACTATAGTAGCACCTTCCTAAACAGATATATCTTCATATACCCAGATACTTTAGTAGCACCTTCCTAAACAGATACATCTTTATATACCCAGATACTTTAGTTGCAGCTTCCTAAACAGATACATATTTATATACCCAGATACTTTAGTAGCAGCTTCCTAAACAGATACATATTTATATACCCAGATACTATAGTAGCACCTTCCTAAACAGATATATCTTTATATACCCAGATACTTTAGTAGTAGCTTCCTAAACAGATACATCTTTATATACCCAGATACTTCCTAAACAGATACATCTTTATATACCCAGATACTTTAGTAGCAGCTTCCTAAACAGATATACCTTCATATACCCAGATACTTTATTAGTAGCTTCCTAAACAGATATATCTTCATACCCAAATACTTTAATAGTAGCTTCCTAAACAGATACATCTTCATATACCCAGATACTTTAGTTGTAGCTTCCTAAAATTGCATCTTCATATACCCAGATACTTTAGTAGTACCTTCCTAAACATATACATATTTATATACCCAGATACTTTAGTAATACCTTCCTAAACATATACATCTTCATATACCCAGATAGTTTAGTAGTACCTTCCTAAACAGATACATTTTCATATACCCAGATACTTTAGTAACAGCTTCCTAAACAGATATATCTTTATATACCCAGATACTTTAGTAGTTAAACAGATATACCTTCATATACCCAGATACTTTATTAGTAGCTTCCTAAACAGATATATCTTCATACCCAAATACTTTAATAGTAGCTTCCTAAGCAGATACATCTTCATATACCCAGATACTTTAGTAGTACCTTCCTAAACATATACATCTTCATATACCCAGATACTTTAGTAGTACCTTCCTAAACATATACATTTTCATATACCCAGATACTTTAGTAGTAGCTTCCTAAAAATGCATCTTCATATACCCTGATACTTTAGTAGTAGCTTCCTAAACAGATACATCTTTATATACCCAGATACTTTAGTAGTACCTTCCTAAACATATACATTTTCATATACCCAGATACTTTAGTAGCTTCCTAAACAGATACATCTTTATATACCCAGATACTTTAATAGTAGCTTCCTAAACAGATACATCTTCATATACCCAGATACTTTAGTAGTACCTTCCTAAACAGATACATTTTCATATACTTTAGTATTAAATGTAGATTAGATTTTTATAAACGTGGTTTAGTGAGGTTTTATGGGGTTTAATGTGGTATTAATGGGTTTAAAAAGTTTCCCCGAAAGATTTCCAATAAAAGTTATAATAAAGTTTGAGCTAGCAAAGTTTTGAGAATTAATGTTTTATGACTAAACTTTGTTTAGTTTTTACATCTTTAGACTGGGTTTGTTATTTTGGAACCTTCTGTGTGTCTGTCTCTAAGAAAAGTTCATGTAAGAAAGGAGTTTTTTAAGAGTGTATGCACTGTGTGCGTGTGCGTAAGGATCTTCAATACTTTGGTCTGTGCAAAAATCCAATATTAACACATTAAGTCAGATATCGGAAGGCTCCCAAATCAAATGTTTGCATAAAATTTGCAAAAAAATCTAAAATTTCAGAACTTCAGAAAAAAGTTGAACTTGACAAAATATCTATGAGTTGGCCGTTTTTGGTTTCCATTTTTCACAGGAACAGGCAATACTTTTCTATAATAACAGATTACTATAATGATTGATGGGTTCAATCAAATACAATCCACATGTAAATATTATGGATTTCGAGATCAATCATTTGCTCCTATGGTTAGGGTGTGCACAAATATTTCACTCTGAATCTTATAGATCCCTTTAATATTCGTTCTGTAGATATCTCTCAGAGTATAAATGAATGGGATTTATCAGTTTCATAGTTTATTTTGTAAATACATCCGTATAAGGTTATTCTTGTTTGAATTAGTTCCTTTAGATACTTGGGAAGATCATAGTTCAGCTAAGAAAAGAATACTGGTTCTCTGTCCATCCAGGATGGTCCTGTGCATGTTTAGCTTCTCAAATGCTCCTAATGGGCCAGTATGTGGTCTAAAGCTATCCAGAGGAAGGAATAGGTCCAAATTGTTATAATTTCTGAACTGTCTCTAAAGCGTAACAATCCTCCGTCTAGTCCTTAGATTCCCTTTCTGTAAGACCGTCATCCAGCTGCTCCTGTTCATGATCCATCTGAGCAGCTTCCCCAAACTCAGACATCTCATTCAGCTGTTCTGGTTCAGGATCTCTGAACTTGAATATCTCGTTTAGATGCTCCTGTTCAGGACCCATCTGAGCAGCATCCTCAGCCTCATTCAGCTGCTCTGGTTCAGGATCTCTGAACTCGAATAGGTTCTTTACACTGCTTTGATTCAGAGAAAGGGGTGAAGGGTTTTAGTATCAGTAATAATACTCTAAATACATTACTTAAACTGTAGGAAAGAAAAATTCAAAAACGAAAAATTAAAATATTTCTATATTCAATAAATATCTTACCTTGGAACCCTGCCAACACTGTAGAATGTATCCTCTGGGTATGGGTGGCTGGTTCCTGGAACAAGAAAAAATATATTGTTTGTGTCTAACGTTAAAATGGCGGAATTGATCGGACCCAAATATATATATATATATGCAATATGCATCCTAACATGATCCCAGGGACGGTTTATGAACGGTCAGAATTATAAAATGTTGCCTAGATTTAATAGAATTAATAGAATTAAAAATTCTGAACAAACAAAGCTTAAAAGAAAATGGGGCTTTAAGACAAAAACGTTCTGGTTCTTTTGACAGTAAGGGATGGATTAATCTGACTCTCATTGATATCTTAAAGCGGTAATATTTTGAATTCGTTATGTTCCTAATTCCAAAAATTAAATCAATATTTTCGAATAAGTGAACGATCCCTTTAAAGTCCCAGTTTTTTGTTATTTGTTAAGGATTCAAGATATTCAAGAAATAATTTTAATTGGAAATTTCCTTTAAATTAAAAGTTTAACAGGATTAAAAAGAACTGTTAAGGTAAAATTAATGAAGCCTAAAAATTTTAGAAGTTGATCGAGACCAATATTAGTTCTATCTGATGTTCCTGTCTCAAGAGACCAATATTAGTTCTATCTGATGTTCCTGTCTCGAGAGACCAATATTAGTTCTATCTGATGTTCCTGTCTCAAGAGACCAATATTAGTTCTATCTGATGTTCCTGTCTCAAGAGACCAATATTAGTTTCTCTACTCTACTCTACTCTACTCTACTCTACTCTGCTCTGCTCTACTCTGCTCTACTCTGCTCTACTCTACTCTACTCTAATCTACTCTACTCTACTCTACTCTACCTGCTAGAAGGAAATATTTAAAATCCTCCCCATCAACTTCATCAATTTCAGGCTTTTTAGGATTCTTCACCAGCAAACGTTCTACACCGTTTCCCTGCAAAATAAAAACGTTAAAAACGTTTTTTGCTCGCATTTTAAAATAAATTTGCTCAGGCAGTTAGATTTGCAACACTGTTTTTTTTTTCAAAATTAATAAAGGTTAATGCAAGTTTGTACTGAAACTTTTAAAACAAATTTTACCAAAATGTTTTCGTTGATTTTGTCACCTTAACCTCGTCTTCCTTTATATTAAAAAAGAGTCTGCAGGCACGGTTGTGTTGAAAACGGTTTTCAAATTTGTAAACGTTTAACAACCACCAACAACCTCCCAATATATTTGACATTTTTTTTCTTCTTTTTTACAGTTTCTTTTTTTGAAATAAACATTTTTTTATTTTTTAAGCATAAAATGTTTTAAAGTTTTATGCTATTTTGAATAAATTATCCGCTAGCTATAGTTTGGATGAAAATAAATAAAAGTATAATAAAAATAAATTACCTGTCCAAGGATTTTGTAAACTCTCTTTAATGATTTCTCCGAAACAAGATCTCCAGGGTCTACTAGAGCCTTGCCCTTCCTTTTGTGCGTTTTTATATCCTTCTCCATGTACAGTTCCTGCAGACAGTATGGAAATCAACTTTTCTAATCCCAATATCTTTGCAATCTGAGAGTACAAACCTTTCATATTTCAAACTTAGACTATCTGACCTAACAGAATTCACAGTTTGAAATATTAAAGGTCTCCGAAATTGTATTGAAAAGATATAGAGATTAGAAATTATTAGATTAGGGAATTATACAGTAACATAATAGAAACTCAAAACATTTTTCTTCTTCTCAATAGTACTTTAATAAGAGGAGATATGATTGAACACATTTCAGATTTCAAGCTAACATGCAATTTAGTTTAGTTTAACATGTACTGTAAACTGTATCTTGAATTTAGTTTAGTTTAACATGTACTGTAAACTGTACCTTGAATTTAGTTTAGTTTAACATGTACTGTAAACTGTACAGTGAATTTAGTTTAGTTTAACATGTATTGTAAACTGTACCTTGAATTTAGTTTATTTTAACATGTATTGTAAACTGTACTGTGAATTTAGTTTAGTTTAACATGTACTGTAAACTGTACCTTGAATTTAGTTTAGTTTAACATGTATTGTAAACTGTACTGTGAATTTAGTTTAGTTTAACATGTACTGTAAACTGTACTGTGAATTTAGTTTAGTTTAACATGTATTGTAAACTGTATCTTGAATTTAGTTTATTTTAACATGTACTGTAAACTGTACCTTGAATTTAGTTTAGTTTAACGTGTACTGTAAACTGTATCTTGAATTTAGTTTAGTTTAACATGTACTGTAAACTGTACCTTGAATTTAGTTTAGTTTAACATGTACTGTAAACTGTACAGTGAATTTAGTTTAGTTTAACATGTACTGTAAACTTGAATTTAGTTTAGTTTAACATGTATTGTAAACTGTACAGTGAATTAAGTTTAGTTTAACATGAATTGTAAACTGTACCTTGAATTTAGTTTAGTTTACCATGTACTGTAAACTGTACCTTAAATTTAGTTTAGTTTAACATGTATTGTAAACTGTACTGTGAATTTAGTTTAGTTTAACATGTACTGTAAACTGTACCTTAAATTTAGTTTAGTTTAGCATGTATTGTAAACTTTACCTTGAATTTAGTTTAGTTTAACATGTACTGTAAACTGTACTGTGAATTTATTTTAGTTAAACATGTACTGTAAACTGTACCTTAAATTGCTCAACTTCAGGGTTAGATTTCCATGTAACAAGGAGACAAGAGTACCCTGTAAACTCATCTTGGATCTAAGAATAAAACAAGAAGACAAGAGTAATATTAGATCTAAGAATAAAATAAGAAGACAAGAGTAATCTTAGATCTAAGAATAAAATAAGAAGACAAGAGTAATCTTGGATCTAAGAATAAAAAAGAAGACAAGAGTAATCTCGGATATAAGAATAAAAAAGAAGACAAGAGTAATCTTGAATCTAAGAATAAAACAAGAAGAAGACAAGGGTAATCTTGGATCTAAGAATAAAACAATAAGACAAGAGTAATCTTAGATCTAAGAAATAAAACAAGAAGACAAGAGTAATCTTGAATCTAAGAATAAAACAAGAAGACAAGAGTAATCTTGAATCTAAGATTAAAACAAGAGTACAAGAGTAATCTCAGATCTAAGAATAAAACAAGAAGACAAGAGTAATCTCAGATCTAAGAATAAAACAAGAAGACAAGAGTAATCTAGATCTAAGAATAAAACAAGAAGACAAGAGTAATCTTGGATCTAAGACGAAAAAAAGACAAGATTATCCTTTAAAAATTTCATTAAATGTAAAAATTTTAAATTTTGTAATATTTTAGTTATTGGTATTTTTAGAATTAAAATTCTTAGGCGCGCAGAGTATAAAGAAGCGGGGCGTAATATTAGAAAATTATGGAAATATTTATATTGCTGAGAAGCTGAATACAGAATTATTTCTTTTTTATTCTAAAATGTACCGTAATATATACATAACTATTAATTTGCTTGTGTTGCAAATGTCCTTATGAATTGTACTGAAAATGTACTGCATTGTACTGCAAATGTAATACAAAAACTATGCAAATGTATTGCAAATGTACTACAAACGTAATAAAAAACTCCGCAAATGTACTGCAAATGTACTGCAAATGTTTACCTGTTGTTTAGCTGCTTCATCAACCATTTCCTCTAACCTCATTCTTCTCTCTTTACCAGGTCCAGCTGCCCCATTCCTCTTCTTGGAACCAGACTGACCGGACTTAACGGAACACGTGGATCTGAAATATTGATTTTCTATATAATAATTTTCTATATATAATTTTCGCTTATGTGTATATATGTTAGCTATAGTCGGTCAAACGGGGCGGGAACAAATTGTCGATTTTTTTTCCAAATTTGAAATTTTGAAATTTGTTTTTGTTCCATTCCACGGGATACGTCTGGAACTTCAACTAACTTCAACTATATATATATATATATATAAGTATATTTATATTCTCTACTATGCATATATATATACAAGAATAATATATATATATATATATATATTCAATTATAGTCTCTACTATGTATATTCATATATATATATTTCATTTATAGTCTCTATCTATGTATATTTACTCGCGCCCTATAAGCTGTGTAATATTGAGAATAAATTAACGTTCAATATTGCATTAAAAGTTTATCTCATTAATACACGTAGGCAAAACTGTAAGAGATCTGCAGTAATCTGACCTAATAGCGGAGACTGAGAGGCATATGATATATAGCATATCCTTTATAACAAATATTTAAACTATAAGGAACATATGAAATAAAAATATATTTAGTTTCCACCTATTGGAGCTTATCAAGGAGTTCTTCTCCGCACTACTAGCTGCCTCCGCCATAGCATTCGCTGCAGCCTCATCCTCCATCCGCCGTCTGAAATAGAAAGCTTACATATTCGTCATAGCATTCGCCGCAACCTTATCTTTCGTCCGCTTTATATCCGCTTGTACATTCTCTTCCACCTTTCTCCGTCTTGAACAAATAGTTCACATTTTAAGAAGTTTTTTCAAACATCAGGAAAATTAAATATCATTTGTCTGACCCCCGAATCCCCCCCCCCCCTCCGAAAAAGATATCATAAAACTGTCCCCGTAAAATATATATTTTTTGCAAGAAGACTAATATGTAATACTAATAAGACTAATAAGTGCAGAACGTTCAAACTTTTTATTTTGTCAACCTTGCATCTGTGATAATGTATTCCGGAGTCAAAACTTGTGTCTGCCAACTTTTAAATTTGAAATCTAACTGCTTGATCCCTTTATGTGAGGTATCAGGGGATATTGAAGAGGAATTCAACTAATCCCTAGATCTGCATAACATGGAGATCTACGGATTTAATGATTGATCTCTATATCTGATGTGGGCATTTTTAAATGTGAGGATCAATGCTTAATCCCTTTTTAAAGTTTTCTGTGAAGGGTATAGACCACAAGGGGATATCGAAGTGGGATTGAATTAATCCTTAGTTCAGCATAAGGCGGAGATTAATGTTTGATCCGGAGATTTCACTCCTGTATGCCGAGTCCATTAGCGCCTGATCCAATCAGGGTTCAGTCATGTGTTTGATGACTATTCTGAACCAATAGAGTTAGTATGGCGGTAACATCTATCTTTCTATCTATCTCATTATTCAATCAGAGATATTAACTAACTTGATCTCTTGGATTTTTGATATCCACAATTTCTCTGTGATCTGATTGGTCGAACGCAACATTTCCTGGCTTTTTGGCTTTTTGATTTTTGCACTTGACTTGATATCGAATACAGATTAAGATAATATAGATTAACAAGAGTTCTCAACTAATCTCTGGTTTAAAAACTTCTAAAGACAATTAAACAAAATGATACCTCAGACATTCAAGTTCATACATCCTCATCTCAGTCATAAGAGTAGCACAGGCTTCATCCCAGTCATCCCCTAGGTTATCCCGGAGTACCTGGAGAATAGAGATACAGTGAGAACCAGAAAACTGTAGAATAAGAAGACGACATTAAAGTGCATTTAATTTAAGTCAAAACTTGAGTCCATTTTCCAGAGTTTTCTGGTTATCACTGTAGAACCTAGATTATATTGTAAATATCAGGGATAACAGTGAAAAATTCAGTTTATAGAAATTAGATTTTGCATCGTCATAACTCTCCTGTATTATATATATTTTTTAGGGGAGGAGGGACTGTCATTATAATTTCAAGTGACAATTCAGTTAACAAAAAATCTATTTTCGATTCACAATGGTACCCTTTAACCCTTTATTTTATCATTAATATGGAAAATATCGTCATTATTCTTGCTTCATAAGTGTTTAATTTTCAGAGAAATCATGGATATCTCATTCTTCTTGAGCAGGAAAACCTTTTAGGGTACCGATGTATAACTCGGACATTCCGATCGTAAAATTACTCTTCAGTTCCTCTAAATTAGGTACGATGAGATAGTATTGAACCTGATTAAGATCTCGACCGTAAAGTGTCTTGTAAGGATGAATCATCTCCTGTCTGCCTGTATCTGTATGAGTTGTCAGATCATCAATAACTATTTGATCCTTTGCCTAAACATCAATAAATTATTAGAAAATAATATATTTTTTCCAGAATCGAGGACATTGTTTTATCATGCAACTAAGATACTTGATATATGGCGAGATATTGATTTGATTAAATTGATATAATGGTTTTAACTTTATGAAAATATGAAGTTTGAATAAACTTAACACTGTTTAAATGTTAAATTTAAGTTGATTTTTATGCATATACATTACACAGGGTTACCCACAAAGAATGACACTTCAAAGGCGACTGTACGGAATTTATACTGTCCGTTTCTTAATATTCATGATTCCCTGCAACTGTAAACTGGTTTCTTGTCTATCCAAATTATATATAAGCAATTTAAAGAGAATATCGAAATGTAGAAGACTTAATTTTAACGAAGGAATCGACATATTACCGGAGTTTCAGGTCGTCTTTAATTGCTCATTCTTTGTGGGTATCCCTGCATGGATAATGTAAATTATTGATTGATTGATTCGGTCGCCATTTTTCTTGTTTGAATCTTATCACAGAGACCTTAAAAGTAGGGAAAGGTTTAAAAAAAATATTTCAATTAAAACGAACACCTGGATGATGTAGAGATATGCCAATATATCATTGCCATTGACATTTTTTAACCTCTCAATCCAAAACCATTCTTATCTTTTTGTTGAGAAAAATTTAAATAAAATCTTACATTTTCGAACTCTTCGTTGAGACCGCTGAGAGCTTTGTAGAGCTCCCTGGCCACCCTCTGTATCTCCAGATCCATCTCCTGCTTAGTGTACCTGGAACACAATACAGTACAATACAGTATGCAGTACAAGTATATTTCATTAACAGTTTGTTAAAACCCAAATATGAAAATATATTTTACTAACAGTTTGTTAAAAATCAAATATAGAAGTATTCTTTATTAACAATTTGTTTAAAACCAAGTATAAAAGTATGTTTCATTAACAGTTTGTTACAACCAAGTACAACAGCATTAACAGACTTCTCTGCACGCACATTTCTGTTACAGAGACAATGGCCGAAATTGTCAGAATTAAACACTTTTCAATCTATGAGAAAGAACGACATATTCCTCATTACTGATCAAGTAAAGGTTTAATGAATGTATTTAAAAGTAGGGTCACTTGAAACTACACCAAGAGTATTTTAAGAACTAAGTGTAAAAGAGTGTTTTAAGAACTAAGTGTAAAAGAATATTTTAAGAACTAAGTGTATGAAGAGTATTTTAAGAACTAAGTGTAAAAGAGTATTTTAAGAACTAAGTGTAGAAGAGTATTTCAAGAACTAAGTGTAGAAGAGTATTTAAGAACTAAGTGTAGAAGAGTATTTTAAGAACTAAGTGTAGAAGAGTATTTCAAGAACTAAGTGTAAAAGAGTATTTCAAGAACTAAGTGTAGAAGAGTATTTTATGAACTAAGTGTAGAAGAGTATTTCAAGAACTAAGTGTAGAAGAGTATTTCAAGAACTAAGTGTAGAAGAGTATTTTAAGAACTAAGTGTAGAAGAGTATTTAAGAACTAAGTGTAGAAGAGTAATTTAAGAACTAAGTGTATGAAGAGTATTTAAGAACTAAGTGTAGAAGAGTATTTTAAGAACTAAGTGTAGAAGAGTATTTCAAGAACTAAGTGTATGAAGAGTATTTCAAGAACTAAGTGTAGAAGAGTATTTTAAGGAATTAAGTGTAGAAGAGTATTTCAAGAACTAAGTGTAGAAGAGTATTTTAAGAACTAAGTGTAGAAGAGTATTTTAAGAACTAAGTGTAGAAGAGTATTTCAAGAACTAAGTGTAGAAGAGTATTTTAAGGAACTAAGTGTAGAAGAGTATTTCAAGAACTAAGTGTAGAAGAGTATTTTAAAAACTAAGTGTAGAAGAGTATTTTAAGAACTAAGTGTAAAAGAAAAGCAAAAGAATTGTGGAGAACAATATTGAAGTTTAATACTGAGAGAACTTACTTCCCAACTGAATTCAAGGTTTCTACTGAATTAGGAATATTATATAAAACTTAACCCTAAACAGCCGGGAACCATTAAAGTAAAGAAGGAAGGAGGGAGCAAAGTTACAGTGTTTGTAAGTGTACTTATTATTGTCATTTGTCAATGGTTCTGTTTTCCAAAGGGTGTTGATTTTTTTTTATGAAAAATACTCAATTTTTTAAAGGGTATGGTAGTATGGTATTTAATAACTATTAAACATTTTAATTTCTATATTTACTAAATAAAATACAAAATTCGCTCTTTAAGAATCACGAAGAGGAATCTTACTGGGGGCTTGCTCTGAAGACTCAAGATTAGATTTTTCGAAACATTTTGTTAAAATAACAAAAAATCCAAACCTAGTCAGTCATTCCTTTTAAAGAATTAATGCCACAGTAACAAAAATGAATATTTAAAAGGCGTGAGATATTGATATTGCAACATGTCAAATTGTAGATATGGTATTTTAATTTTGTGATATTTATTAGTTTTTATTTTCTGGTTTTGAGAAATCACCCGCCACAAATATGCAAATTGAAATTTTTGAAACAATCTTTTCTTTAAAGTTAATTTTTTTTTCAAGTTTAAGGCTTTAAGCATTAAATAATAGTAATTCCTATCTAGTTGTTGCTATGAGAACCTAGCGCTAAAACTTTAATAATTCAAACTTTACAGAATTCTCATGAAACATAAATCTATAATTTAATCAAGTTCTTGGCTGCAACTAGGCGTGGATCTGGTTGAATCAAGAAATAAAAAAGTAGAAAAAAAATTTATACATTATGTACTGTGCATTAGAATTGATTTTTTAAGTATTTAAAAAAGTAACCTTTTCCCTTATGTTACGTATTATTAATTCGATTTTTTACCAAAAATGTACGTATTGTATTACATGAAAGTATATAAGTCGATTTTATAGAACATTTTTCACAATTTTTGCAATTTTGGATTTTCTGATTCGGAATTTCCAAGTATTTCTGCAGATTCTGGTAAATTCACTTCATTGATTATCAGTTAACGTCATTATTAACTCTTAAACGCGGCTTAGGGAACGTTAACAGTACATGGCATGTTAAAGCCAACCTTGTAACAGCACATGGCACGTTAAAGCCAACCTTGTAACGGCACGGCAATTTCAACCATAATTCAGCTCATTATACATTAATTAGCGTTTGGCACGTTAATGTAAACCTTGAAACAGCTCATGACACAGCTCGCGACACGTTGGTGTTAACATTGTGACGGCGTTTGACACGGCTCATGGCACGTTGATTTCAACCTTATAACGTCTTATGGCACTAAATCATCAACCTTGTAACGGCGCCTGTCACGTTAATATCAATCCGTGGCAACAATGTGACGTTAATGTGAATATTGTTACAAGTATTGACACCTTTTCACAAGATAATTTCAAGCTTATATATAACACCTAACTTTACGTTCACATATTCATGTAACAACTAACCTATCCTTTTTTATATTTGACACCATTTTGTAATATACCAGTACAACTTTTAACAACAAAAACTTATAGCCTTTGGATTTCCAAAATGTGGTCTGCCATTTTTGCAGATTCTAAATTGACGGAGATATTGAGAAAATCTCCCGCAAATTAATAGATACAAAGAAGAAATATCACATTTTTGAAAACTCATAAGACATTTTTTTCTTCCTTTTTTCATTATTAGAAATGATTTTAAAGTCGTCTCTAACTTCCCATGTTTATTGGGACACCCTGCATAATTTAATTATAAAAAATACTGCAGTAAAATACAATTCAATTCTGTAGTAGACAAATTATATTTATTCTTAATTAGTTCGATTAGGGTAGATTAGGGTAGATTAGGGTAGATTAGGGTAGAAAAAATAAGTAATTATATATTCCTAATATTGAATGTTACCATAGAAAACACTGTGAAGGTCAAGCTGGGGGGGAAAATCTATTATCATGCAATATATTTTACTAGAAACTAACTGTAAATAGACAACAAACTTTCCTAATACAATATATATTATAGGTTTTCAAGGAAAAAAGGAGAAAATAAATGATCAAGGATAAGACAAGGAAAGACGTTAAAAGCAGGTTTAAATGGTACCTATGTGAATCAGCCTCCCACTCATTAATTTTGAAGCTCACTTTAATTAACAAGAACAATCCCTTTAATGGAATTATCAAATGGATGATTCTAGTGGTTCGTCCTTTTGCAAGATTTTAGAGAAAACTTTTCAGGTTTTCGGTTCTTTTTCTCTGGAAGACGACGTAATAAAAAGCTCATAATTGCCAAGGTAATAAGGCATGGAAAGCTAATTGCTGTTGCGTATTCTCTGCGTACATATTGAAACCAGTTCTCTCTGGGCGGTGTTTGTAAACAAGATTAGATGCATCAGTGGTCCTCTAGTATCCAAAGAGGATAAAAGCATTTAATTTTAATAATTTTTATAATTCACATAATAGTTTGCAGTACACTGCAGTACTAAAAATGCGTACACCTCTGAAATAACTATCTTTACATTATAATTCTTTGCTATTTGCGTAAGTTTAACCCAGGACTGACCAGATTTCTTTAATTAGAACTCTTTGGTCTAGAATTCAACAATCTTTCAATCTACATGTTTTTAATACATTTTATTTAAAACTCATATGCCAACAAAAAGTACAAAAGAGAAAAAGGAAAAAAATGTATTTTTTATGTGTCAGAAAAGTCACTGCTTTTGCTGAGACAAGAACCAAACTGTTAAATCTGTGTTGTTTGTTTCTTTTTTAATAAAAATATAATGAGAGAACACTTGGAGTAAATAAATTGTTACTTTTAATAAGACTGCGTAGACCAAGTGTAGACTAAATAATGTAAAGTGTAAAGTGTAAAGTGTAAAGTGTAAAGTGTAAAGTGTAGACTATAGTGTAAAATGTAGACTATATAGTGTAAAGTGTAAAGTGTAGACTATGGTGTAAATTGTAAAGTGTAAAGTGTAGACTATAGCGTAAAGTGTAGACTATATAGTGTAAAGTGTAGACTATATAGTGTAAAGTGTAGACTATATAGTGTAAAGTGTAAAGTGTAAAGTGTAAAGTGTAAAGTGTAAAGTGTAAAGTGTAAAATGTAAAGCGTAAAATGTAGACTATATAGTGTAAAGTGTAAAGTGTAAAATGTAGACTATATAGTGAAAAGTGTAAAGTGTAAACTATATAGTGTAAAGTGAAAAGTGTAAAGTGTAGACTATAAAGTGTAAAGTGTAGACTATATAGTGTAAAGTGTAAAGTGTTAAGTGTAAAGTGTAAAGTGTACACTGTATAATGTTGGGGTGTATAAAAGCAACTGACCTGAGTCTGGGCCCTGTATATCTATGGGGGGGGGACCTACTTAATAATTCATAAATAAGAAAACCACTGATTCTGCGCAGCACTACCCTCTAAATACATTGACCGTGAACAGAAACCAATTAGACAATTAACTTCTTAATGAAAGGTTAAAAAAAGAGAAAGTAAAAAAAATAATATCAAAATTGATGAGAAAATAGTAAAAATACTAAAAGTCAAATACAAGTATTCATTAAGTATGTCAAGTTCGTCGAGTACACTTATAAATATGCTTTTTTATTGATAAACTTGACATATCGGATTTTGAGAGTACAAATTTAAAATATTGTAAATTTTAGAAAATTTATATTTTTAATTGTTAAATTATTTATAGTTATTTTCAGTGTTTTATTTTCATGAATTAACAATATTGGCTCCTGGGTGCTTTTCGGCTTTCTTTTACTAACAATTTTATAGCTGAAATTTTGATTCTCCAGTCGCATTTTTTGCCATTATTTGTATTGGTGCATTTTAGAAAATAACTAATATCGACATTTATTTTCGGCAAAACTTTTCATGATTGACCAGCCATAAAACCTTTTTTTACTTCTCGAGTTTATTACTACGTTAACGATCTTTACTCAAAATTTTAATTTTTCAGTTGATAACCTCCTGAATTTATAAATCAAATTTGGCACTTTTTATTTATTTTATTGGAGTCCAGTTTGTCCTTCTTATTAATATTTACAAATCATATGTAGTTGAAGCTTCAAGGTTCTCCTCTATATAACAAATCCACCTGCTTAAAGGGATTGTAAAGGGGTATAGGATGAAACCTGAGAATCTCAGGCGTTGAACGATACATATAAGACATCTATCTGATGTTTCTGTCTCGAGAAATTGACATAAAACTGTGTAAAATTTATGTGAAAAACATATATATGCAATTTTGTATAAAAGTTGTAGTATTAAAGAGATCATATTCAACAAATACGCAACCAATCTAAAAACGACAATATCCCACAGGAGCCTGAGAATCAGGGTAGAATAATATGCCCCATAACCCTACTAAAATTACAGTTTCTTTTACCTTTAAGTACAGTGTAAACAAATGCCTAAATAGTCCATTATTTATCTAATAACAATATAAAAAAATATTATGGATTGAACTTTATACATTTACAGTAATCATTATACATATCGTATCATATTATTCTAATGAAGGCAGAATTAGTTTTTATTTCCTACTATTATGCATTATTATTGACCTTTTAGTAAATTATGCTTCTTAAATCGCTTCTTAAATTTCTATTTTTATTTTTATAGTTAAGAATAAAAGTATACCATAAGAAGGCTGAAAGTATAAAAAGGAATCTTTGTTCAAACTGTAAAAAATACCATCTCTTCTTTCAAGCTACGATAATTTAGTTTTCTTGGGCCGCTGGAAATAAAGGCATTTAAAACACTGATGTCCGAAATTGAGTGCATCGCCGTTCTTTCCAGCTTGACCAACCTGTCGGTGGTCATAGATGACCTTCTCCAGGTCAAAAGCCTTCGGAGTAATCATTTTTTTAATCCAGGGGGTACACCCCCCTAATTTCACTCTGGGGGGGGGGGGGGTTATAGACTGCTACCCCCTGTAGCCGCCTATGAAAAATATACTAGGATTTTTAAAACTGTAGTTAGTAAATTGCTCGGTGTAGTTTAGAATTTACATTGTACATTATAAATGTTCTGTGTACAATGTACAATGTACATGTCTAGAGGGCTACAAAAAAAAGTTGAAAGGAAAAACAAAGACGAAGATTTTTCAACACTTTATATCTGGTCTTAATAAATGGTGGATTATTCATCCTTCCTGCGACTAAAATATTAATTTACAGGGTCACCCTTGGCCGCAAAGGATGAGATTTCAGAGACGACTGTACGGAATATATATTTAGCCGTACCTTCGTGGTTCCTTGCAGCTGTAAACGTGTTTCTTAAGTGACAAAATCATTTAATACACATTGAAAAGACTATTTTCAAAACAGAAAACCGAACTCAGCGTTAAGATCGTTATAATAGAAGAATGTTTAGGTCGTCTTCAACTGGTGTGGGTAAACCTGTACATACAATTCAACTGTTGTGGGTAAACCTGTACATACAATTCAACTGTTGATACAATTCAACTGTTGTGGGTAAACCTGTGCATACAATTCAACTGTTGCGGGTAAACCTGTACATACAATTCAACTGTTGTGGGTAAACCTGTACATACAATTCAACTGTTGTGGGTAAACCTGTACATACAATTCAAAATATTTAATAAAAAAAAACTTCTAAAGAAATATACTGCTCCAGGGACTTTAGAAAACTTAATTTAGAACCGGGTTGAAGAGAACGATGGGCCGGGCCGGGGGATATATATGTGGATAAAAAGAAAAAAAGATGGATGAATAACATGGTTTTGATATGGTTGGTCATCTCTACTTAAATCCCTTTTAGAAAATCCAAGGTTTGCAATCTTATATATTTATCATTGAAACCTTTATATGATCAGTATTGGAAGATATTTCGTCTTTCTGGGTTTAAAAGTGTTTATTTCTGATGATTCCTAAATGTTTTTCTTCAAAAGAAGTGCGCAATTGTCACTTTGCACTAAGGGTCACTTGAATTCACGCAAAAAAGTCCCTTTAAAATTAGTTTGGAAATCCACAAATGAAGACACAAAAATCTGCGAAATTTAAAGTAGTAATTGCGTAATTACAAGAAGGAAAACTGTTTGCACTTAAAACAAACAAACAATGAGGAGCAGGAAGCGTCCTAATGGTCTGTTTTTTTACATTCCAAACTCACCTGTCATCTTTCGTTTCTTGCTCTTTCGTAAACTCGTCTTCCATTCTTCTCCTTAAAGGGAACGCTCACTTATTTGGGTAATTTCGGGGTAAACTAAATAGCTTATTAGCTATTTATTAGGATTGGTCGTACTTTTCAAAAACAATTGTGGCCGGAAAAAAGCCTATTTTTGTCCCTTTGCGCTCGAATTCTGAACGAAAAATCGGCTTTTTCTCCGGCCACAGTTGTCTTTGAAAAGTAAGACTAATACCAATTAACAGCCAATAGGATGTTTTGTTTACCATGAAATTACCCAAATAAGTGAACGGTCTCTTTAAAATAAAAAAAAATGTAAAATTTATGAAAATACATTTTTGATTTTTTTTTTTTTTTTACCTGGTAACGATATGACTGTCATAACTGAAGTTACTGACGGGACCAGAGCAAACCAAGGACTTATCAATATCAGCAAGGTTCATGTTTATAGCTAGAGAGAGACTAGAGACACCTTCTGAAGATTTTTCTAACTAACCACTCTTTTTACAGTTTAACTGCAGTAGATATTGCTAGATTTTCTGATCGTCGATTATTTCACTTTTTTGATTTCGAGGATTTCTAAAAGTTTTGTTTATTGCTTGTTTATTATTGTAAATATTTGGCATTTAAAAAATCTGTTTTGGCCTAAAATGCCTGAATTTATATTTATATTTATAAACCAGTGTCTCTCTCACTATTGATTCTAAGAGGCTGAACATCAAAGCACTACTGAGGATATAATACAGAGGATACACTGAGGCCTTTTTCAGGCAGCTCCCTTTCCCTCTCCTTCTATACCACAACCTATACCCAGCACCGACACCTCCCGTTACCTTCTCCCCTTATATACCCCACCCTGTACCCAGCATCCTCCCTTTCTATATCCCACCATGTACCCAGCATCCTCCCCTTCTATACCCCACCCTGTACCCAACATCCAGCATATGGTTTTATTAGTTTCATTTGTGAACCCTGTCTCCTGATTGACCTGTGGTTGTTCAGACTTATCTCCTGCATCTTCTCCAACCTGTACAATAATACAGGGTTACCCACAAAGGATGAGACTGCAAAGACGACCTGAAATCTTTAAATAATGATTCCAAGGACAAATTTAGTCTTCTGCCTTTATAAAGTCGTTTAAATGGCTGACTTATTGATTTAACAAATAAAGAAACAAGTTAACAGTTGCAGGGAATCATGGCCGGATATAGGGAAACAGACAGTATAAATTTCGTACCATAGTCTATTAAGTTTACTATATATAGTAAACTTTGATTCTTCTTGCAAACTTATACAAAATACTTAAATAAGGACGACCTTTACTATAAACTTAGAATGAAGACGACATGTATTTAAATTAGTATCGGGTAATATAAGGTTTTTTTTTGCATTTAAAACCAGTTAAATCAAAAATCTGGTACAATTGCATTTTTTACTTTAAAAAAACGAAATGTTTCGGTTTATAAGAAAATGACTATTAAAGAACACGTTTACTTTGAATTAAAAAGCATCTTTCTGATACAATTTAAATATTTAAGATTTAAGATCCAGATGGGAATTTTATAGATAATTTTCTTCATGGAACACACATTTCATTTATGGTTATACATTCATTTCATTTAATGGTTTGATTTAAGTAAGAAATTGTTAACGTTTTACTAACCAATAATAAAAATGTAGAATGTGTTTAAAAGTTATAAAATGCATGAAATATTCTAATTTGTCTATAAAAAGTTATAAAATGCATGAAATATTCTAATTTGTCTTTAAAAAATGCATGAAATATTCTAATTTGTCTATAAAAAGTTATAAAATGCATGAAATATTCTAATTTGTCTTTAAAAAATATAAAATGCATGAAATATTCTAATTTGTCTATAAAAAGTTATAAAATGCATGAAATATTCTAATTTGTCTTTAAACAGTTATAAAATGCATGAAATATTCTAATTTGTTTATAAAAGTCTGATCTATGTAATGTAAAGGTTATTACTAAAATGTAGAAATGTCATTGTTATATTTTTTTGTATTGAAAAGTTTGTCTGACATAATTTTCTTTTATTATATTGTTTTTACAACTAAAACATGCAACCTAGCATTTTAGAACTATGGTGAATGATGTATCATAAAAACTATTTTACACAATCCAAAGCAACTTAATTCAACCTTATTTCTATATAAATTAAATTGACTTATGCAAATTTTACAAATTTGAAAAAATATCTTGCAGTAAAATATTGCAGTAAAATATTACAGTAAAAGCTTTTTAACCTTCTTGTTCTTTTTACTCAAAATTAAAATTTTTAGAAATATCATCAAATATTTGTTTTCTATAAATCGACAATTTTTTGACCTTGAATTCCAGAATTTTATTTTCTCCTACTCTCCCTCCCAGCTGGAAATCCACCATTTTATCTGAAGAAAAATTTCAAACATTTTTAAGGATGGTTATCTATATAATGTATACAACGATTATAGTATTAATAACTAGCTAAAGGGCCCGGCGTTGCCCGTAAAAAAAAATTCTAAAAATTAAAAATTTTATGGAAAAAAATTATTCAACTTTTTTGTAGCCTATGTCACCCCCATGCTTTCAATGAGTGTCCACAAAAAATGTCAGCTCATTCGGTCCAGCCGTTTTGCCAGCCAGAGGGATCATACATACGAATGTCATGTTTCTATTAATACATAAGTAAACAGTATGTGTATTGTAAAGTCTGCATTTATATTAAATGTATACTGAATCTGTGTGTATGTACTAAATGTTTACTAAATGTAAACAGAATATGTATACTGAATGTGTTCTGAATGTATACTGAATGTGTTCTGAATGTATACTGAATGTGTTCTGAATGTATAGTGAATGTGTTCTGAATGTATACTGAATGTATTTTGAATGTATACTGAATGGATATTGAATGTATATGTACTAAATGAATACTAAATGTATACTTAATGTATACTAAATGTATATTGATTGTATACTGAATGTACACTAAATGTATACTGAATGTATACAAAATGTATACTGAATGTAAACTAAATGTATACAAAATGTATACTGAATATAAACTGAATGTATACAAATGCATAATGAATGTATACTGAATGTTTACCAAAAGTATAATGAATGTATACTGAATGTATACAAAATGTATAATGAATGTATACTAACTGTAAACAAAATGTATAGTGAATGTACACTAAATGTATACTGAATGTATACTGCATATATACTAAATGGATACTAAATGTATACTCATTGTATACTGAATGTATACTGAATGTATTCAAAATGTATACTGAATGTAAACTAAATGTATACAAAATGTATACTGAATATAAACTGAATGTATACAAAATGTATAATGAATATAAACTGAATGTATACCAAAAGTATAATGAATGTATACTGAATGTATACAAAATGTATAATGAATGTATACTGAATGTATACTGAATGTATAGTTAATGTATACTGAATGTATACTGAATGTATACCAAATGTTATGATGAATGTATGATGAATGTATAGTGAATGTATAGTGAATGTATACTGAATGTATACTGAATTTATACTGAATTTATACTGAATTTATAACAAAAGTATAAAGAATGTTTACTTAATGTATTATTGTATACTGAATGTATACTGAATTTATAACAAATGTATAAAGAATGTTTACTTAATGTTTTATTGTATACGGAATGTATAGTATACTGCAGTATACCTGTTAAGGCAAAGTAAGCTTATTATGCAACTTCTGTAATTCCTTGAACTTGGCTGGCAATAAAGATTTATCAATATTCGGGAAAAATTTATTTAAAAAATTTATTCAAAAGTTTCTTTTTTGAAAATTTAATTTTAACCTAATTTAGGTTTTTCTTAGATTTAAAAAAAATTTGTTGTTTTTTAATAATTTGAATATTTTGTTTCATGTTTTGTATTGTGTTGGAACCTATAGAGGTTCTATAGAGGTTCTATAGAGGTTCTACAGAGGTTCTATAGAGGTTCTACAGAGGTTCCATTGAGGATAGTTTTACCAACCGCCGCTCTTATACAAACCTTGCAGACAGATAGATAGATAGATAAATAAATAGATATAAGGATATATAGATAGACAGACAGAGAGATCGATAGATAGATAGATAGATAGATAGATAGAAGTTAGAATTGAACAAAAGTAAAATCTGTTTTCCAAATTCATATTTGCCACTCCTCTGGTTTAATTAAACAATTAAACATAAAGTTGCCTTTTCTCTTTTATATTATTATCATAAGTAGGCTGATGCGTTTAAGATGAAATGTTTAAAAATACAACAACAGTAAGGGTGAGCCTGAATTTCTTCGTATTGCTTAGGGTGAACCAAATTTCTAGGTGATATTTTGACCTTGGGTTAGTTTATAATTCATTGTACAATGCAGTTTGTTCGGGAAATTATGTAAAATATACTTAGGAATTTGTAAAAAGGTTCTCTCAGATCAATGGTTGGTTCCTTTATATGAAGAAGAAATATGCTAAAAAGAAGAGCTGCAGCTCTGAGCAATATGTGTAATATTAGATAAAAACAAAATTTGGAACATTTGTTAAAAAACATATTCCCCGTGTTCACAAGGCCCAAGGGATTAGAATCTATAAATCTACAAACAGAAAACAGATTTATGATCAGCTAAAAAGAAGATACAACATTTAAAGAATAAATTCACTGCTCTTTTTTAAATTTTGTTAAAATTTCAAATACAAAAATAAATGTTAAAAAAAGTTATGGCTGCAAGTATAGATAAATTAAAATAACAGATGGGACACTAGATGTCGTCTTTTTAAAACTAGTTCACAATAACCCTATGGCAGAAGCCCAGAGGAGTTTCGCGCAGTCTCCGTAGAATTACGAGACAGAGAGAGCCTGTTCTTCGCCGATTGAGCAAAACTCATCTGGGCTACTGCCTCAGGGTTATTGTGAACGAGTTTCATCCAAATCTTCAAAAGACGACATTTATTTATCCTATCTGTTATTTTAATTAATCTATGGCTGCAAGGTATGAAAACCACGGAGTATTTAAGAGGAATTAAATGAATCCGAAGATCGCTATACAATGGAAATCATTGCGTGATCCCAAGATTCACAACACACATGTTCTAACCTCTGAGCTAAAAACTTTAGAATGATGGATATTGAGATTAATGCTTGATCCTCTCTTTTTGCTAATCTACAGACTAATTTAGTAATTAGATTCATTTATAGAGATTAGAGATGCACCAAAGATAATATATATATAGATATGCAGGCAGGTAGAAACCTCCTTCCTAAATTGCTTGTAGCAGACAACTAATTTTTGAACCTCTGAGAAAATGTGCAAGGAGAGACATCTATAGCAAATTTAGCAAATTGATTACTTTCTATATTCCTTTCTCCCCTTGCTGCTATCTGTAGGAAATACGCATTTGTGTTATATAAACATACAGTACGCGTATTGCATCCTGTATAGTTCAAGTGTTGCTATCTGGACCTGTTTGACCAATAAAATTAAATTTCAAGGTAACACAAACATACAGTACGCGTTTTGTTTATGTTATGATCAGATCAGTTGTAATTTGTCCTAGACTCGATGTACTTTTATAGTCATAATTTTTATTTAAATTGCGTTAATTTAAGTATGCCATTCAGTACAACTTGCACATTTAAACTTTGTCTAGTCAAATTCCTACCTCAGTTTTATTTGCATTGATTAATTTGTTTCATTAAGTACAATATGCAGTATACATTGTTGATACTATAGTACGCATTTAGTGTTATCACGCATAAACAAAGTGATAAATTAGCATCAATCCAGAGGATAAAATGCCATGCGTACGACAGAGATGGTGCTGTTTGCACATTTTCTCAAGACCTCTAAATTTATACCTGCCTGCATATCTATAAATATATTATCTTTGAGATGCACTCTTTAACTTTTGAATAACCGGTTTTAATTTTGCCGCATTTGTGGTGTCATATCAATTGGACTAATGATCGGTTGACCGAACGTAAGTTTTGGATTAATGATTTTTAAGACTAACGTTTAAAAGGACTATAGTCCTCAAATGTGATAAAATATGTTTTTTTATGTTCATATAAACATCATTAAATTAATATTTGTTTAAATACTCTTAAAGCCGGTTTGTGAGTTGTGAACAGCTAACTTTACTTCATCGGATATAAGTCCAATTGATATAGCATCATGGATATTCAAATTCTAAAAACTTTAGAATAGGATATCCTTAATCCCGTGTGGTTAATTAATCTGAGCTGAGCTGGAAACTTTTGAATGGTGGATATCGGGATTAATGCTTGATCCACTCTTTTTCTTAATCTGGAGATTAAGAAAAAGAGTGGATCAAGCATTAATCCCGATATATACCATTCAAAAGTTCCCAGCTCAGGACATATTTTACAGCTTCTTTATTTATACATGATACTTGTCAAGCATGGTCTGGTTTGCGAATGAATGTCAAGTATTTTAAAACCGATATATAAAAACGTATACCTAAAAAATCCAAAACTAACTGTATTTGGTCTCCCTGTGGCCTGTACTCCCTGCAGTGTAAACACTAAACTTTGTCAGTAGTTCTCCAATTTCACCTTAGAGGAAGCTTAGGTGTTTATAGAAACATTTTACTCTTGAAGATAATGTAAATTGTTCTAGAAAATATTGAATTTAGGGCTCTGGTAAAAAGCAAAACCCGAAATGTCGAAATCTGAACAAAAGTCTTCATATCTACGCACAAAAAAGGCAGACTATATTTTGGAAATATCCAATTAAAGACTTTTGACTTCGGGATTATAAACTCTAGAACTTTACTTTTATAATCAAGTCTACAAATATATGCCGCAAATTCTTACAGAGATCAAAGACGACCTTCATGTCGTCTTGCTACTGTCATGTTTCGTGGGATACCCTGTACATAAACATAAACAGTCTTAAGGTACGGCATTTAACACCCCTTAAATGCAGTACACAACACACAATTGTAAAAATTAACGCTAATTAACCCCCCCCCCCCCCCCAATAAAAAATAGCTGCAAAAATGTAATGTACTTACTTTTATGCAGTTATACAACCTTGTTACTATGAGAATACGTGACAATTGCAATTTAAACGCAGATTTCTTGAACTGGAAGTTTCCCTGATTTTTGTGCATTTGCGTCGACCAATAAGAAGGGAAAAATAGGAACCAGGCCCTCGTATTCGACCAATAGGAAGGAGTCCGAGTATAAAGGGTTAATTGTGTACAGAAGAGTCCTGCGTAGAAATCACCAAGGATTTCAAGAATATAAACTAGTTTCAAGATAGACACTAACCAATATGGTGAAGGGTGAAGAAAGGTTACATGAAACCATTTATATTTTACAAAATATCTTTTTTGTGACAGTTTTGTCACTTATTTAGGAGTATGAAAGGACTCCTGGAAGGAGAGCCCGTCATGTCTTTGTATACATATTTTTATATATATATCGAGGAGTATGAAAGGACTCCAAGAAAGGAGTACCCCGACATGTCCGTGTACATCTATATATCTAGGAGTATGAAAGGACTCCAGGAAGGTGTGCCCCTACATGTCCGTGTATATCTATATATCGGGGAGTATGAAAGGACTCCAGAAAGGAGTGCCCCTACAAGTCCGTGTATATTTTTATTTCTATGAGTATGAAAGGACTCCAGGAAGGAGTACCTCGACATATCCGTGTTTATCTATATATCTAGGAGTATGATGGGAACTCCAGTAAGGAGTACCCGTGTATATCTATGTATCTAGGAGTATGAAAGGACTCCAGGAAGGAGTACCTCGACATGTATCTAGGAGTATGAGAGGACTCCAAGTAAGGGGTACCCTTGTATATCTATATTTCTAGGAGTATGAATAGACTCTAGGAACGAGTTCCCCTACATGTCCGTGTATATCTATATATCTAGGAGTATGAATGGAATCCAGGAAGGAGTACCCGTGTATATCTATATATCAAGGAGTATGAATGAACTCCAGGAACGAGTTCCCCTACATGTTCGTGTATATCTATATATCGTAGGAGTAAGAAGGGACTCCAGGAAGGTTTGCCCCTACATGTTCGTGTATATCTATATATCTAGGAGTATGAATGGACTCCAGGAAGGAGTACCCCAGCATGTTCGTGAATGGATCAATCATTGGGCAGATATCTGTGAACCCCAGGTACATAATACAAAAATTAAACACTACCATCAAAAGCAGTTGCTAATCTCATGTGAGCTTAAACTAAAATTCATTTTAAAAAATTGAAGTATGTAGTTTTTATATATAATATTTTATTTCATTCGCAACTTTATTTTTATTTAATTTAAACACTTGTTTTGGAATATGAAATATGATTGTTTTGTGTGTTTGTACAGGATATTCATATTATGGACGGAACTAGTGAAGAAGACGTGGCCTTGAAGGTTAGAATTTATCAATTTTCAATATTAAACCATCTTTAGAGATTTATAACTGGGTTTCCGTCATATTCTGGGAGGGAGACGGGGAACGGGTTAGGACTCAAGATTTAGACAATTTTTTTCAATGTTCTTAATATTAAATGTCTGATTATTATTCCATTTTTCAGAATATAACTCAACTTTGGCTGTCATGAAACTTTCTGTTAGAAACTAATAAGAAATGTGTTCATTAAAACATAAGAATATAGAATTTTCTTAGCTGGCTGAAGACTACTTGGACCTAAAATTATGAATATTTTTCAAAACCTTACATTGAACAAGATGCATCATGCAACTAAACTTTGTAAGGTTTACTTTAAGTTTGAACAAAATGGAGAAAAGCAAAAAACGTTCGGGAAACTTGTTAAACTTTGATATTTAGAAAATGTTGGTGCGTACCGGAGTTCTGATTCATCTACCTAAATATGAGAACTGTTTCCTAGCCAGGACAGATCCTAAAGATGTTGCCAGGACGGAGAGCAGGACGTTTATATCTACGCAGGTATCTAGATTAGGACGTTTATTATCTATAGCGTAGGACGTTTATGTCCTCCAAGGTATCAAGAGTAGGACGTTTATATCAACATATGAATATAGATTAAGACGTAACTCAGCTAACTAGATTAAGATGTTTATATAATAAAAGGTATCTGGAGAGTAGGACTTTTATATCAACTCGGGTAACTACATTAGGGTGTTTGGATCAACCCCAGGTATCTTGAAAAAAGGATGTTTATTTCAACCCAGGAGCTTGGGAGAAGGATGTTAATATCAACCCAGGTATCTGGGGATAAGGATGTTTATATCAACCCAGGTATCTAGAAAGTAGGACGGTTATATCAACACAGGTATCTGGAGTAGGACACTTGATATCAACACAGGTATCTAGAGTAGGACGTTTATATCAACCCATGTATCTAGAGTAGGACGTTTATATCAACCCTGGTATCTTGGGAGAAGGATGTTTATATCAACACAGGTATCTAGAGAGTAGGAAGGTTATATCAACACAGGTATCTGGAGTAGGACGTTTATATCAACCAATGTATCTAGAGTAGGACGTTTATATCAACCCAGGTACCTAGAGTAGGACAATTTTATCAACCCAGGTATCTAGAGGATTAGGACGCTTTTATCAACCCAGGTATCTTGGGAGAAGGATGTTTATATTACTAGAGTAGCTATATTAACCCAGGTATCTAGAGTAGCTTGTTTATATCAACCCAGGTATCTGGAGTAGGACGCTTATATCAGCCCATGTATCTAGAGTACTTTGTTTATATCAACCTGGGTATCTAAAGTATCTTGTTTTTATCAACCCATGTATCTAGAGTATCTTGTTTATATCAACCTGGGTATCTAAAGTATCTTGTTTTTATCAACCTGGGTATCTAAAGTATCTTGTTTTTATCAACCCAGGTATCTAGAGTATCTTGTTTATATCAACCCAGGTATTTAGAGTATAGGACGTTTATATCAACCCAGATATCTGGAGTTGGACGCTTATGTCTACGGCATGTGCTTTTGTTCCTAAATATAGAAAACAAAATAATTTAGGGACATTTTATTTTAATAAAAAATCCGTGTTTAGAGTGAGATTGAGTCTGTTCCTGTGACTGAAAAGTATTCAGGGAAACTAGGAAACTGGATGTCTCCTCAGGACCTAGAGGCTAAAGTAAAGGTATAAAATCATTTTATCAATTATTTTTATTCTTTTAACCTTGGTAACAGTTTATATTGGTTAGCAACACCACGACTGAACTCTTAATATCCAATGTGTAAACCTTTAAATTGATTGATTTAAGCTAAATGTCAACAAGGTTACAGTGTATAAAGCACTAATGTACACTATATTAACGAAAATTGGCTGGCAGGTAGATAACTATCAGCACGGCCCTGTCTAATTTAAAGGTTTTACCAATCATAATTTCAAACCTTGATCTGATAACATCTTGATCCATCATTAACCCTATGTCTAGGAGCTCTTCCCAGGCTGTATGGCGGGAAGAACTATGTACGTTATTCCCTTTAGTATGGGACCAATAGGTTCTAAACTATCTAAAATAGGTAAAAACATCTTCAGTATGGGACCAATAGGTTCTAAACTATCTAAAATAGGTAAAACCACCTTCAGTATGGGACCAATAGGTTCTAAACTCTCTAAAATAGGTAAAAATACCTTCAGTATGGGACCAATAGGTTCTAAACTCTCTAAAATAGGTAAAAATACCTTCAGTATGGGACCAATAGGTTCTAAACTATCTAAAATAGGTAGTTAACATCTTCAGAATTGGACCAATAGGATCTAAACTATCTAAAATAGGTAGTTAACATCTTCAGTATGGGACCAATAGGTTCTAAACTATCTAAAATAGGTAAAACCACCTTCAGTATGGGACCAATAGGTTCTAAACTATCTAAAATAGGTAAAAACATTTTCAGTATGGGACCAATAGGTTCTAAACTATCTAAAATAGGTAATTAACATCTTCAGTATGAGACCAATAGGTTTTAAACTATCTAATATAGGTAATTATGGGACCAATAGGTTCTAAACTATCTAAAATAGGTAATTAACATCTTCAGTATGGGACCAATAGGTTCTAAACTATCTAAAATAGGTAAAAACACCTTCAGTATGGGACCAGTAGGTTCTAAACTCTCTAAAATAGGTAATTAACATTTTCAGTATGGGACCAGTAGGTTCTAAACTATCTAAAATAGGTAATTAACATCTTCAGTATGGGACCAATAGGTCCTAAACTATCTAAAATAGGTAATTAACATCTTCAGTATGGGACCAATAGGTTCTAAACTATCTAAAATAGGTTAAAACATCATCAATATGGGACCAATAGGTTCTAAACTATCTAAAATAGGTAGTTAACATCTTCAGTATGGGACCAATAGGATCTAAACTATCTAAAAGAGGTAAAACCACCTTCAGTATGGGACCAATAGGTTCTAAACTATCTAAAATAGGTAAAAACATTTTCAGTATGGGACCAATAGGTTCTAAACTATCTAAAATAGGTAATTAACATCTTCAGTATGAGACCAATAGGTTTTAAACTATCTAATATAGGTAATTAACATCTTCAGTATGGGACCAATAGGTTCTAAACTATCTAAAATAGGTAAAAGCACCTTCAGTATGGGACCAATAGTTCTAAACTATCTAAAAAAGGTAAAAACACCTTCAGTATGGGACCAATAGGTTCTAAACTATCTAAAAAAGGTAAAAACATCTTCAGTATGGTACCAATAGGTTCTAAACTATCTAAAAATAGGTAAAAACATCTTCAGTATGGTACCAATAGGTTCTAAACTATCTTAAATAGGTAAAAACATTTTCAGTATGGGACCAATAGGTTCTAAACTATCTAAAATAGGTAAAAACACCTTCAGTATGAGACCATTAGGTTCTAAACTATCTAGAAAAGGTAAAAATACCTTCAGTATGAGACCAATAGGTTCTAAAACTAAGCGACTCAAAAAAAAGATTTTGTTGGGAATTTATGATAATTTTATTTTTATTTTAGGAATTGAGATAACTGATAGTGCGTATGTTGCTGTGAGTATGCGTATAATGACCAGGGTTGGAGCTAAGGTTCTCCAGGTGCTAGGGGAGGAGGGGCAGTTCATCAAGGGGGTTCATAGTATAGGGGCTCCTCTAGCCCCTGGACAACAGGTGGATAAATTAGAAATTCTAAGAAATTAGATTTACATGATTACTTAAGTTACACCATCATAGTTGATATCGTTTTCACACAGATGAAACTTGAATTTATCTTAAGAAGTAAAATCAAATCGGTGGACCGGATCTACTAAACAGTGAGTTTATATTTAATATTTTTTTATTAAGAGTGTTATTTGGCCCTGTAATCCTGAGAATGTGTTGGTAGCCCACAAACCTGATACTTCAGAAATTATCAGGTATTATACACCGTTTCTAAATGTCGTCTTTTGCAATTTTTAAATTAATTGTAAATCTCCGGTTTGAAATGAAAATATCAATTGTTTAGTTTTGGATCTGGCTACGGAGGGAATTCTCTCCTGGGAAAGAAATGTTTAGCACTGCGGTTAGGAAGCGCTATGGCTAGGAAGGAAGGCTGGTTAGCTGAGCATATGTTGATATCTGGTAAAAAAAATAAATTTTTTTTTTTACTTACGCCAAAAATTTGCCCCTGTCTATAGGATTCTTGCAGCTCGAAAAATACATTATTCTAGATTTGTTTTGCAAATTGGTTTAATGGGTTCCTGAGTTATGAACGGACATACAAACAAATAGACACACAAACAGAGAAATTACTTCTTATATTTATTGATCTTAACCAATTGTGTACAGTTCATTTTCCATTTTTATCAAAAACTAAACGGCACGTTTTTATTTGTACATTTTCCAATAAATAAACTATAATTTCTCAAAATTTTCATTTTTTAACCATTGAAAGATTATAAACAAGTGTGTAAATGTAAATAGAAATTATTCGCAATTGTTTATTTCTGAAAATGTGAGGTTCCACAACAAATGAGTCGAATCGGGTAAGAATGAGTCGAATCGGGTTAGAATTGAAGTTTTTTGGATCCAAACACGCTATACGAAGTGAGATCAATAAGTTTCGCTAAAAATAAATTATTAGTACCTGCAGAAGTCTCAGCCCTGACATTTTTTTCTTGAAAGTTACTTTATTTATACCGCAATATTTTTCATATTAGTTCATGTCGATCAGATCTTTGTAGTAATTGTAAGAAGAATATCAGCTTCGTTCATCACAACAAGAAAAATTTCAAAAGGGTTCCAAACTTGATCCAACAAAGTCTGTGTTAGAACCTTTAAGAACGATGAAAAGAGATCAAGTATTTAATGTATGAGGACTTTTGAGGAATTTTCTGACTTTGATTTACATACGAGATACATAATCAATGATATCTCTCTGGTCCTAGGTTAAAAACTTTTGGACAAATTTTTCCCAGATTTTTGTCATTTTTTTAATCTTTTTAATCGAAGAAAAAAAACATTTTTGTGTAGCCGAGCCTTCAAAGTGTTCTCTTTCTCTGGTCAATATTCTAGATATTCCTATGCTGTGACAACGAAGCTAATTAATCCACCTTCAGGAGATACTCCTTACATCATAACAACAATCTGCTTGACGCCAACCTGACCAAAAATGTTTCCAGTATAGATACAGTGAACTTAAAAAAATAATTTTAGAGCTGAGACTTCTAGAATACCCATAAGAAAATTTTAGAGTAACTTATTGATTACAGCTCGCACTTGAAAATGTTGAACATATCTGTTTGTAGGGATCACTAATTCTCAGGGAGAGAAGAAATATATAGTTGCTGCATTCCCTTCAGCTTGTGGTAAAACCAACCTTGCAATGATGCAACCTAGGTTGCCAGGATACAAGGTATTATAAATATATAGTTGATGCATTCCCCTCTGCTTGTGGTAAAACCAACCTTGCAATGATGCAACCTAAGTTGCCAGGATACAAGGTATCATAAATATATAGTTGATGCATTCCCCTCAGCTTGTGGTGAAACCAACCTGGCAATGATGCAACCTAGGTTGCCAGGATACAAGGTATTATAAATATATAGTTGCAGTATTCCCTTCAGCTTGTGGTAAAACCGACCTTGCAATGATGCAACCTAGGTTACCAGGATACAAGGTATTATAAATATATAGTTGCTGCATTCCCCTCTGCTTGTGGTAAAACCAACCTTGCAATGATGCAACCTAGGCTGCCAGGATACAAGGTATTATAAATACATAGTTGCTGCATTCCCCTCAGCTTGTGGTAAAACCAACCTTGCAATAATGCAACCTAGGCTGCCAGGATACAAGGTATTATAAATATATAGTTGCTGCATTTCCCTCTGCTTGTGGTAAAACCAACTTTGCAATGATGCAACCTAGGTTGCCAGGATACAAGGCATTATAAATATATAGTTGCAGTATTCCCCTCAGCTTGTGGTAAAACCAACCTTGCAATGATGCAACCTAGGTTGCCAGGATACAAGGTATATTCATCTATTCATTGAAGAACCCTGAACGCCCGGATGGTGAGAGGGGGGAAGGATTTTTCCACTGTTTACAGCCGACAAGCGAAGAAAATCCTTCCTCCACTCACCAACAACGCTGTCACTTCATCTTTGAGCCAAAAAGTAGTTACTTCATATGAGGATTTTGAGTGTCTATTTCTATTAAGACGCCATTTTCTGTTAGTTTGAGCGCATCCAGAGTATTAACCTTAATAAACAACCTTGGTGTAATGTGAATAATGTATATCTACACTGGGAGGGTTACAGTGTAGTCTAGATTATCTTATATTAATCTAGACCCTTCCTTAAATTCATCTATTATTCATTATTTCGTGGATTCTAAGTATCTCTGCATTCTCTGACATATTAATGTATAGGTGAGTGTAGTTGGAGACGATATTGCCTGGTTGAGACCAGATGAGAAGGGTCAGCTCAGAGCAATCAACCCAGAGAACGGATTCTTCGGAGTAGCTCCAGGTACTAAATAAACTTGGAATAGAAAACCCAAGATAGAACCCCAATCTAGAGTGTGACAAAGGGGGGAAATAATTTACAGTGAAAACCATAAATATGTGAAATCTTAAGTCTATTTGAGAATGTTGCAAAGCAGTAAGTTTTACCAATAGCTTGAAAATTAACTTATCAAGCGAAATGGGTCTGTGTACACTGCACAATTGTTGTGTGTCTTGCTCATTGGAATATTTAACATCATAACTTGAATCTAATAATTGTAGTATTTTTATTCCACAGTTTAATGGGATCACTGTAAAAACTGAAAATTATTAAATTCTAAAATCATGAGATTTCTTTTGAAAATTAACTTTGGATTTATGAATATCTTATTGACTGCTAACCGTTTCTACCATTCAGGCACTAGCTACACTAGCAACCCAGTAGCCATGCAATCCATTTTTAAGGATACTATTTTTAGGTAAGATTAATTTATCAATTTTAGATCTCTAAATTTCTTTATTTTACACGCTTTCCTTTTCTTCTATCGTTTCCAAACATCAGAAAGTTTAAATTCTTTCCAAACTCTGTAAAGGGATTTTTCTAAATTTTTAGAATTGGGAATTAGAATTGAAATCAATTTGAAAATCAACAAAAGCTACAAAAAAACTTGATATTTTAAAAACTCTAAATTACTTTTCAATACGGAGAGCTTTGTTAATAAAGTTTAATTTCTGTAAGTTTTAAATTTCAGGTAAAAAAAATATTATTTAGTAATGTTGCGATGACAGATGATGGTGGAGTATGGTGGGAAGGAATGGGAGATAAACCAAAGGAAAGATCTGTCAACAAATATAATATAATATTTTCATGAATCAGAACACAAAAGCCCGAATTGTTTAAAAAAAAATTAAATTAGCGAAAGTTTCTATGAACTGGGACCGAAAGAGGTAGCTGAAACACCTGCTTCTGGTTAAAATCCTGAATTACCGATAATTCATAAGGACTCGTATATAGTTCAGCGACCTCTCCAATTCATTAAATACATTCCCAGTTGGCTTTTTAATGTAGAAATATTTATTCTAGAAGAAAATAGACAACATTGTGATGGATTGAAGATTTTGGATGAGAGAAATTGATATTTAGTCATTTTATTAAGTGGATGAAAGTACATGGATGAAAGTACATGGATGAAAGTACATGGATGAAAGTACATGGATGAAAGTACATGGAATGGATGAAAGTACATGGAAGAAAGTACGTGGATGAAAGTACGTGGATGAAAGTACATGGATGAAAGTACATGGATGAAAGTACATGGATGAAAGTTGAGATTAATTAAACTATTTAGAATTTTAAAAAGCCTGACTCATCTGTCACATAGAGTTGTATTGATTGGAAAGGAAAACCATGGAGACCAACCTCATCCAACCCTGCAGCTCATCCCAATTCAAGGTATAGATAATTCATCCAACCCTGCAGCTCATCCCAACTCAAGGTATAGATAATTCATCCAACCCTGCAGTACTCATCCTAACTCAAGGCATAGATAATTCATCCAACCCTACTCCTCATCCCGTCATACTAACTCAAGGTATATACAATTCATCCGACCCTGCTACTCATCCTAACTCAAGGCATAGATAATTCATCCAACCCTACTCCTCATCCCGAATCAAGGTATAGACAATTCATCCAACCCTGCTCCTCATCCTAACTTAATTTATAGATAATTCATCCAACCCTGCTCCTCATTCCAACTCCAGGGATGAATAATTTATCCAACCCTGCTTTTCATCCCTGCTAAAATTATAAATAATTCATCCAACCCTGCTACTTATCCTAGCTCAAGGTATAGATAATTAATCCAACCCTGCTACTCATTCCAACTCAAGGTATAGATAATTCAGCCAACCCTGCTACTCATTCCAACTCGAGGTATAGATAATTAATCCAACCGTTTTTTCACCTTTAATTTCAATTTAGGTTCTGTACTCCGCTACTGAACTGTCCGGTGTTAGATGAATCAGCTGAAGACCCAGCTGGAGTTCCTATCGCGGCCATCTTGTTTGGAGGTCGTCGTCCTTCCGGCGTTCCTCTGGTTTATCAGGCGATATCTTGGGAACATGGCGTTTTCATGGGTATGTACGATAACGAGGCTGTTTTATTAATCAAGAACTAAACTATATTTTTTCCCAGGCGCTTGTGTGAAGTCCGAAGCTACAGCTGCAGCTGAGTTTAAAGGAAAGCAGATAATGCATGATCCGTTCTCAATGAGGCCATTTTTCGGGTACAACTTCGGAGATTATCTCAGGAATGGCGGGAAAATCAATTATGTCTTTGAAATTCTAATACTAAATGTTTTTTCTATTTGATAATGTCTTGCCTTGCTGGGTTTTGGTTTAATAGCTAGTACATGTATTTTTTATATATTGCTGTTGCATTTGACTTGCAAGAAAGACGAAGAAAGATAAACAAATTTTTCAGCTTAATTGTTTATTTTACCCGGTCTTGATCAGGCATTGGATTAGTATGGGGAAGAAGCTGAAGATTAAACCTCCAGTCTTCATGGTTAATTGGTTCAGGTAAACGTTATGAGTCAATCTACAGCCATGACGACAAGAACCTGTATAGCCGTAGAGGATTTCAGAAGGAAATCTGCGTTGCATTCATTATTATCTTTACCAATAAATTAGGTCCATTGCATATCTACCTATTATTGTGTTTAGACGAGGTCATGATGGAGGTCTACTATGGCCTGGATTTGGAGATAATATTCGTGTTATTGATTGGATTCTAGGACGAGCTGCAGGTATTCAAAACAAGATTAATAAAAATTTGATTCTTAAATCAATTCAAGGAGACACAATCCATTTCTGGAGGGGGTGGGGTCGTATTGTTTAGGTGTACTGCAATATATTGAAATGTACTGCAATATATTGTTCAGGTGTACTTCAATATATGGAAATGTACTGCAATATATTAAAAAGTACTGCAATATATTGTTTAGGTGTACTGCAATATGTAGAAATGTATTGCAATATATTGAAATGTACTGCAATATTTTGTTTAGGTGTACTGCAATATATTGAAATGTACTGCAATATATTGTTTAGGTTTACTGCAATATATTGTAAAGGTGTACTGCAATATATTGAAATGTACTGCAATATATTGTTTAGGTTTACTGCATTATATTGTTAAGGTGTTCAATATTTTGTTCATGTGTACTGCAATATAATGGTTAGTTGTACTGCAATCTGTTGTGGTGTACTGCAATATATTGTTTAGGTGTACTGCAATACATTGTTTAGGTCAAGGTAATAAGACAAGAAAAGTTAATTGCTGTTTCGCATTCTCTGCGTACAAATTGAAACCAATTCTCTCTGGGCGGTGTTTGTAAACAATAATAGATGCATCAGTGTTCTTCTAGTATCCTAGGATGTTAAAAGCAATATATTGCTTAGGTGTACTGGAATATATTGTTTAGTCGTACTGAAGTATATTGTTTAGGTGTACTGCATTATATTGTTTTGTTGTACTGTACTGTATGTTTAGATGTACTGCAATATATTGTTTAGGTGTACTGCCTGCCAGTGGAAGGTGTGTAGGATGGGTTCCAACCTGTAATGGGATAAATGTTATGGATCTGGATGATAGGTAAATACTAGATATATCTTTACATGGTTAAGATTAAGGTTTTGAGTGGACTTTTTTTGTTCCGCCGCTAGTTTTTTGCGATATGTTGTTGCAGCTTCAATTCTAGTTTTGTGCGGATTTTTTTGCGAAATTTCACTGGGACATTAGGATACAAACACAGGAATACGTATGCAGGGATGTAAATACTGATATACTGGGATACTATCAGGATCTAAGTTCAGTAATACAGAGATACTGGAATACAAATACAGGAATATATATACAAAGATACTAGGATAATAAATACAGAAATACTAGAATATAAATACAGGAATACAGAAATACTAGAATATAAATGCAGGTATACAGGTATACTAGGATACAAATATAGTATTACAGAGATAATAGGATACAAATACAGTAGTAGAAGTATACTAGGATATAAATACAGTAATAGACGTATACTAAGATACAAATACAGTAATAGACGTATACTGGGATACAAATACAGTAGTAGAAGTATACTAGGATACAAATACAGTAATAGAAGTATACTAGGATACAAATACAGTAATAGACGTATACTGGGATACAAATACAGTAGAAGAAATATACTGGTCTACAAATACAGTAGTAGAATTATACTAGGATACAAATACAGAAATAGACGTATACTAGGATACAAATACAGTAGTATAAGTATACTTGGATACAAATACAGTAGTAGAAGTATACTAGGATACAAATCAAGTAGTAGAAGTATACTATGACACAAATACAATAGTAGAAGTATACTAGGCTACAAATACAGTAGTAGAAGTATACTAGGATACAAATACAGTAGTAGAAGTATACTAGGATACAAATACAGAAATAGACGTATACTAGGATACAAATACAGTAATAGACGTATACTTGGATACAAATACAGTAGTAGAAGTATACTAGGATACAAATCAAGTAGTAGAAGTATACTATGATACAAATACAATAGTAGAAGTATACTAGGATACAAATACAGTAGTAGAAGTATACTAGGATACAAATACAGTAGTAGAAGTATTCTAGGATACAAATACAGTAATAGACGTATACTAGGATACAAATACAGTAGTAGAAGTATACTAGGATATAAATACAGTAGTAGAAGTATACTAGGATATAAATACAGTAGTAGAAGTATACTAGGATATAAATACAGTAGTAGAAGTATACTAGGATACAAATACAGTAGTAGACGTATACTAGGATACAAATACAGTAGTAGAAGTATACTAGGATACAAATAAAGTAGCAAAAGTATACTAGGATACAAATACAGTAATACACGTATACTAGGATGTAAATTCAGAAATACATGTTGACTAAATTTAGACCGGATATGGACGAACTACTTTCTACCCCGACAGTATTCTGGAAGGAAGAAGCCGATGAGATGAGATCATACTTCCGGTATTATATATAAAATATTTTCATGTTTCTTGTCTTTAATTTCTCACGATATAAAAATTGATTCTTCCTGTGTTCTAAACTAAACGAAACCAAAGTAATTTTTTCATTTTTGACTTTTCCTTTTTTTGGAATTTCAAAATATTTTTGGAATTTATATTCTAAATATTTTTGGAATTTATATTCTAAATATTTTTGGAATTTATATTCTAAATATTTTTGGAATTTATACTCTAAATATTTTTGTATTTTAGAGAACAAGTTGGATCCTCCCTACCCAAGGAGATGTTGGACCAGCTCGGTAACCTAGAGAGGAGGATTCAGGTCTTCACGGAGTACTACGCTGACGACGAGTACTAGGGGTTCATCGAGTACAAGGAGTTCTTGGTGTACTTTGAGTTCATGTAGTACAATGAGTTTATCGTATACAATGAGTTCATCGAGTACAAGGAGTTCTTCGTGTACTAGGAGTTCACGTAGTACAATGAGTTCTTCGAGCACAAGGAGTTCATCGAGTACAAGGAGCTTATCAAGTACTCGAAGTTCATTATGTACTGAGAGTTCATCGAGTAGATTTTTATGAATTTCAAAACTAATAAATTTCATATTTTTAATATTTATCGTTAAAAGTTAATAGAATGTTAAGTACGTTAAATTAATATAGTATTTTTTTACAAAATGATGATGACAATCTAGTTTTTTATGTTTTAGTAATAAGTGAATTATTTTATGTTTAATATTACATATTTTATAAAAGTAATAAAATGATGATGATAGTTTTTGCTATGTGTCCAATTACACATTGATTAGAGAGATAATTATTTTTTATGTTTGATAGGTTTTAGTCTCGTTAAGTGTTGTATAGGAAAGGTTCAAGTTGCATTAAAAGTTGCTTTTAGTGAAGAGAGGATTGAAACTAATCCTAATGTGCAAGTGCAGCAATATATGATAAAAGACTGATTCAGATTTAAATTGTCAATAAAGCAGGTTCTGTAAGTTCTGATTGGTTTTTAATGTGTGAAAGAAAATCGGAAGAAAATACCAAACCAATAAAATTTTCTCCAGGGTCGTATCAAAAGAGCCAAATAGTTTTTTTTCGAAGTTCTCATCTCAACTCTCACAGCCTTGAATCCTGAAGGGGATTTAAGGCTTGTTGTGTGCGATTCACAACAACAGGGCTTTTAAACCTCTGTAATAATAAAGACATTGTTTTTCTATTTGAATTTTCCATTGTGAATCTTTAATTAGACAGTCTCTTTAAGTAAAACTATAACTGATGCTATTTATATTTTAATCCCATTTTTCACTCGGGAGGATTTGACAATTCCACCCAACCCAGTGACCATTACCTAGTAACACCTCCCGTTGATTGCAAGAAGTGTTTTTTAAAAGTTACCCAAAAATTTAATTTTGTAAAAACATGAATTCCAGTAAAACGTATTGTGCAGTAATGAGTTAAAAAACATGTTTTATTTCTTCAAAAATTCAATTCCAAGACCCTTGAATAGAAATCCTGCAACGCTGCTCCAGGTTAGGAAGGGTTCCTAAGTACGACCCCCCCCCCCCCCCCCCCCCAACACCTGTAAATATATCCTTGAGCCCCTAACTACCCTGGCTTCACTTCCGGATTGGTAAGCAGGGAATATATTCTCCACATCAACTTAGAAAAAATGTAATCAGCGAGCCAATTTGTTTTTTTTAAAGAAAACGTTTTTTTCGATTTTTGCTGCTTTTTATCCCCTGGATGTTTTTAATTTTGTATTTATAGGAAGGTAAACTCTAGTTTCTTCACAATATCCCTTCAGCTTTCATCAACTAAACTAAGGTGAATGAACTACAGCTTGGTTTAGTTTCATTTTTCATTCAAAGATGTCACTTAATGCATCCTGCTAATTTTTACAAAAATAATGATGAAGCACTTTTAAACACTGACTTATATCTCTCATAAAATCAATTTTAACCTGAAATGATTATGCTTTATATCATATATGGGTTTTTATCGCAAGTCTTTTCTATTTTCTATTTTATTTAAACAATTGTATAAAGTCTAAAGGATGTTATTGTATAAAGTCTAAAGGATGTTTTAAAGTGTTATAGAGAAGAATAACCCAAATGAAAATTGAAAATTTTGCCTGGTAAAAATGTCGACATTTAATGCTTTTTTCAAAATGTGTCAATTTAAGCAGAAAATCCGCGAAAATTTGAGATAGATTGCAAAAAGTTAAAACCTAAAAATGTTAATAGGAAGGAGAGCGCGAAATGCTATATAGAAAAGTCTGTTTAGAAATGTTGAATTAAGCTGCTACTTTCAAAAGGGAAACACTTCCTGTTTTTAATTGTTAAAATATCTCTGTAGCAATGAAAGACAATAATTCTTACTTTTCCATTTTTTCAGTTTGTTATGATCAACTGAAGTGGCAACAGCAGTAGTAATAGTCGGGATCAGGGATAGATATTTTCTCAAACAAAAAATCAATCTTTTAAATCTTTTTGGAGCATTCAAATCATAAGTTTTTATTTATTTACTCGTTTGTGACACCGGCGGAGAACATAACTCCATCTAGTGGAGAATTATTTAACTAAACAATATACTGTTTACAAATTCATAATATACAAATTTATCCTTCTTTAAATAGTACCAAAAAAGAAAACTAAAAAAATGATCCTTTAAAATGTTAAAGAAAATAAAACTATATTAGCCTCATCTATAAGAGACTGGTCCAGAGAGTTGAGAATCAGGTAATTTTATAAATCATTATTCCTTCTTGATCCATAAAATAAAACATCTCAATTGTTCCCTTTTCACTTCTGTATGCCGAGTCCATAAGCACCTAATCCAATCAGGGTTCAGCCATGTGTTTGTTGTCTATTCTGAACCAATAGAAATCTATCTTTCTATCTATCTCATTATCCAATCAGAGTTATGAATCCTTCAATCGGTGCTATCAGTAAATGGTAATATTTACTTCTACTGAAACTATGATGAATTTTGTTTGATCCCTAGAGATTTAAAGACCTTTATCCTTTCCTCACTAATATGTATAATAAAACAAGACATTCATAAATATGTTGCATATAGCCGGCCAAACGGCTTGACCGATTGGGCTGAAATTTGTTGTGGACACTCATGGGTAGCCCGGGGGGTGTTTAATAGGATACCTTTAGTACAAATTTTGAAATTGGACTAGTTCTTGATGCCCGAACATATCTAGATACGAATCCCTTCTTGATCCCTATATTCAAGGTTAAGCTGGGATTCGTTCCTTGATCCCCTTTCAAGGGATTTCTTTAAATATATTCATGTTTGATTTCCTGTACTCACATTCCTTACCACGTCAAATTAAACTAAATTACAATGTTAGATTAAACTCTGACATAATACATAGCTCCTCTAATTAATGAGCTATCTGACACGTTTTCAATAATAGCTTCTCTAATTAATAAGCTATCTGACATGTTTCCAATAATAGCTTCTCTAATTAATAAGCTATCTGACATGTTTTCAATAATAGCTTCTCTAATTAATAAGCTATCTGGCATGTTTTCAATAACAGCTCCTTTAATTAATAAGCTATCTGACATGTTTTCAATAATGCATAGCTCCTCTATTAATAAGCTATATGACATGTTTTCAATAATAGCTCCTCTAATTAATAAGCTATCTGACATGTTTTCAATTATAGTTACACTAATATAATAACTATCTGACATGTTTTCAATAATAGCTCCTCAAACTAATAAGCTATCTGTCATGTTTACAATAATAGCTCCTCTTATTAATAAGCTATCTGTCATGTTTTCAATAATAGTTTCTCTAATTAATAAGCTATCTGACATGTTTTCAATAATAGCTCCTCTAATTAATAAGCTATCTGACATGTTTTCAATAATAGCTCCTCTAATTAATAAGCTATCGAAAAGACCTAAAATATTTCTAAATGAATTTCTAGTATGTCACCAGAAAAATTTCAGTTCTCATACTGCTATAAATATCTCTAAATGTTTTGTATTCTATTCATGTTATTTCTTGATCCCTTCTACTTTTCTCCTTTTCTATAAACTGTCATCCAATGATCCTTTTTTGTTTAGTTTCAGTACAGATTAAACAGGATGAATCGACGAGATGGATCCAGTCACAGGAATCCCAGATTTGATTATGGAACTAGGTAAGTTTAATCCATATTTAAAACTCTATCCGGGTGTGACGTTAAAAAGAAGTTGGGTACTTTCCCAAAGACCTTTTCCCAAACGGCAACTTCCCACAGGTATTTTCCCAAGTGGAAACTTCCCAAATGTGCACTATCCCAAGCTGCAACTTCCCAACTCCCAAGTAGGTCCTAGCCGCACCCTTCGGCCCCATTGTAGCCTGCGAGCCTGTGGCGCCTCAGAGGGCCCTTCCTAACCTTTGAGAAGTTGCCGTTTGGGATATTTTCCCTTGGAAAAATGCCTTTGGGAAAATACCTAACACCTTCTGAACATACTCTTTATTGTTAAATAACTTTTTAAATGTAGCAAACCTAGAAAAAATGTAAAAAAACAATATTACGTTTTCTATGTCTTCTTTCTTGCAACGAATTGCAAACATAGATATTTTCACTTCTATCCCTTTCACATGTAAAACCATGCAATATTATAAAATGAAAAGGAATATATTATTTTTTATTTTATTTGATGTTTCAGACCGAAATACAGTAGCCCAGATATTAATACACACCCGGGCGCTTTTAACGTGACATCGGCGGAGAACTATGAAATTAACTCCATCTAGTGGATAATTATTTAACTAAACAATATACTGTTTAGTTTCCTGAACGCTCTACGGATTGCTGCTGGAGGTGGATTGTCTGGAGGATCAGGGAATCCAATGTGGATGATGGGTAGGGATTATATCTTTAAAATACAGGGATTGTAAAAAAAAGTGGAATTATGCATCAAAGAAAAACCAAGATTGAAAAAAATATTTTTTTTACTCTGTTAAGATACAGTGTCACTCGAAATTACGTATTCAGTCCCTCTAATATATATTATCATTTCAGTTTGGTTGTCGACCCTGGTCTTTTTTGCATTCCCTGTATCTGGATTCTGTGCTGGCTGGTATATCATCATAAACCCATTCACTACAATATTTGATGGACTTAATGTGAGTTCTCATACAATAATAATAATAATTATAATAATAATTATAATAATAATAATAATAATAATAATAATAATAACAATAATAATAATAATAATAATAACAATAATAATAATAATAAATACAAAAGAAATAATGATTATAAGAACAATTATGATTTAAGTAATAATGATTTTATAAAAAAAATTTCTATCCATATTGATAATCAGCTAAAAAATTGTAGTAATTAAAATGTGATATCAAATTTTCAAATGATAAAGTTGTTTTTTAATTCATCTTAAAACTGATAAATATAATACGATTCAACATATAACAAAATTAACAAACAATAATAATTAGAAAACTTCCATTAATTTGTGTTTTCTAGAATGTAACTGATGCATTGTTACGAGGAGTTCAGTTTACACATTTCTGTGCTAAACACATGATGGAAGGAACACCTATCACAGAAGCTTTCAAATACAAATAGATTAAATATATAATAGTTATTGTCTGTATTCTGTATTCTGTATTTTTATTATTTTAGATTTATTTTGATTATCTGCCATTCCAAGTTGCCTGTACATAAACTAGATATTAATATGTATATGTTTGTTAATGTACTGCCTGTACATGTGACAGCTACGCAAGCTATTGAACAAACAGCTTTTGAAAAGTAGCTTTTCCATTGTAGCCCTTCGCAGCTGCCTAAAATGCTTTCTAAAAGCTGTTTGAAAAGTATGGAGTTGTTTATAAAATTATCAATGCAGCTGTTTATGCAACTCATTTTGCTATTATTAAGACTTTAATAGCTCTGATAATACTGAAATATTCTTTATGCAGCTTGATTAGCTGTTTTGCCAGCTAAATTAGATGTATTTGCAGCTAAATTAGAAGTATATGCAGCTAAATTAGAAGTATATGCAGCTAAATTAGAAGTATATGCAGCTAAAAACTGGTGAAACAACAACTTTAGCAGCATATATTGATGAAGTAGCAGTAGCAGATAAAGTTGTTGTTTTTGCAACACAATGGCTTTTTAAACAGCTGAGGCAGCTGTTTTTACAATTGAAGTAGCTCATTTAACAGCTAACTTGTGTAGCAGTTTTGCAGCTGAAGTAGCTGTTTTATACAGCTGAAAAATCTGTTTGAAAAACTGAAGTAGTTGTTTTATTATTAGCAAGTTTGTTAAATTTCCTCGATGTCTGTTTCATTTAAATACATGCAAAGACGAAATTGCTATAGTTGTGGTTTCAAAATTTTGAGATTTAAGCTAGATAGATAGATAGATAAATGGATAGTGTAGATGGATAAATAGATAGACAACTATTATGTTTACAATACAAGCCGGGGAGAATTTGTTTATTGTTTTGTATACAAGGTGGCCCACAAAAGATGAGACGACTTTTTTCAAAGACGACTTTTTAAAATTTTTTAATTAATGGTTGTGTATTTGATTCTTTCTTTACAAACTCATTTAATATATCATTTAAAGACTGATAGTTAAGAGAGAAACCTAAGAGAAACCTTTAAATCACTATATCTTAAGAGTTTTACTATAATATTCATCATTTATGATCATTCAGATGTTGTCTTTACTATTACTTTTTGGTTTCAATGATTATATAATAAATCAATTTAAATTTAAATAGATATTAACGAGGTTTTGCGCCCTCTTTCTTATTAACAATTTTTTGATTTTTCCTGTTGCTTTGAATGTAGTAAATACCCTACTCCATATCAGTTTCATGAACAAGTATCTATATCACATGATTAAGGCAATCATGTTACATATTACAGCACAGTTTAGATGATCAAGCTAATCATGCTACGTATTACAGCACAGATGAGATGATCAAGCTAATCATGCTACGTATTACAGCACAGTTGAGATGATCAAGCTAATCATGCTACGTATTACAGCACAGTTGAGATGATCAAGCTAATCATGCTACGTATTACAGCACAGTTGAGATGATCAAGCTAATCATGCTACGTATTACAGCACAGTTTAGATGATCAAGCTAATCATGCTACGTATTACAGCACAGTTGAGATGATCAAGCTAATCATGCTACGTATTACAGCACAGTTGAGATGATCAAGCTAATCATGCTACGTATTCATTTCATGCGTAGTTCAAATGAATAATGGGTTTTACGTAAAAGTTTACAATGTAGATTGTTGATAATGTATAACCTACTTCAGGTTTACAGAATATCGTGTTACCTACCCGATATTTATTACATGAAATATGTTTTAATCGTTCTCAAATCTACGCGGGTTTTTCTTTTTGAATTTTCAAAAATAATAAATATCGACATTTTTTTCAGAGGAAATTTTTTTATCTTTCCTGGGGTCATTTTTGGTAACACAAAAAATTTGGGGTCAGATCAATTCAGCCGTTTTGACTTTAAGATCGACTGGAAGATATATATTTGATAGAGAATATGAAGCACAATAATAATAACTAAAGTATCAAAAACTAAGAAATGTAAAATAGGTGTTGAGGTATGTTCAAATCAAAATAAAGTTGAAACAGATGCTATTTTCATACTATTCGAAAATATAGTTCGATCTTGGTTGACCCTTTCCAGTTTTTGCATTCAACCCCTCTCCACTTAATATCTTGTAAACTATGTTCGTTAACGTTGTTTTTGCATTCAACCCCTCTCCACTTAATATCTTGTAAACTATGTTCGTTAACGTTTTTATGTCTAAAATTTGGTGTACACGTTTTTTCCCACGTTAAAAGGTTTAGTGTGATGTAGGATGTATGTCACTGACAAAATTATTATTAAAAAGAAAATTTCTTAAAACTATTCCCAGATTCTTTGGGCAAATTAGAAAAAGTAAGCGTAACCTAAAACTTGAAATTTCTAGGCCTATAAGTGCCCAGGCAGGCAGCTAGCATGTTTCCTGGGAGAAAATGCACACTTGCGTTTTTTCAGGTTGCAGTTTAGGTAAAGATGGGAGGGGAGTAGGTGAGGGGGATGGGGAAGGGGAAGAGGAGGGGCATCTTTTACTTTTTTTTTGTTTTGACAAACGTGAATACCAAGAAGTAAATAAGTTCCTTGATCAAAACTAAATTTTGAATATATAAAATCCATGATTAAAGGTAGTGACCTGCAGGACACTGTAGTTGAGGTGAGAGTGAAGTGTTGAAGGGAATTTTCCTACGACAATCTGGGACAATTTTAAAGATTGAATTTCCGCTCTTATTCAGTAATTATACACAGTATAGGTCTCAAATGAATCCTATAAATTTCTCTACAATATTTTATTTTTATTTACGCTTCTATTTTTGATTTTACGCACAAGTGTGAGAAAAGTTAATTTATTTACAACTTTTTAATGAAAAACAAATTTTTTATAAGTTGCATCATTTGGCCAAGCAAAAGGAGTTGAGGAGAAAATTGCACCAGAAACGGATTTTTTAAATAGATTTTTTGTCCAAAAACTTGACAATAAAATATTTTTACAAAATATTTATTCTAAACTGTCAAAATATTTTCAACGCGATTTTTCACCATTTTCTAAATATTTGACCATCAAAAAACAAAAAAATCGTCAAATATAGTTTTAACCAAGTTAAAAGATTTCCCAAATGGATGGTGTATCACTGTTTAAAATCACTTGAAAATAGACAGAGTTAACCCTATTTAGCCGAGAATAGTTAAAAAGATTAAAAAACCCAAAAATGGCGGGAAAAACAGTAAGATGGCGGGAAAAACAGTAAAATGGCTGGGGCACTTACTAGTTTTACATTAATGCTTCCTATAAAATGTGTCTCACATCTGGGAATTTTTTTCAGGGGCAACCATTGGGGGGGGTATTTTGCCATAGGTGAAAAATAAAATACTTTTTAATGGCCAAAAATGTAAATATAACTGCAGAGTTTGCTAAATGATTCTTAAAAACGTGTCGGTAATCATGCTACGTATTACAGCACAGTTTAGATGATCAAGCTAATCATGCTACGTATTACAGCACAGTTGAGATGATCAAGCTAATCATGCTACGTATTACAGCACTAGGGGGTCATATTTCACCAAGGGGGCATTTTTAGTCCGCGTGGGGGCATTTTGACAAAAACAGGGGAATAGGTTAAATATCAGTCGACAATATATTCTGCTACGGTGAACTGAATATATTCATATTCAAGGTCGAATGATCAGTTTTTTTTGGACGAAAACTTAGTTTAGAGCGAATCCAGGTAAAAAAATATGATATAATTTTGTTTAAATAGAGTAATTTTGTGATGATCCAATTCTCATAGAGTAAATAAAGTATGTGATGGTTCCACATTTAAAAAAATATATTTCGGTTTGGGTTCATCCTCTTCTGTCATGAAGAAAACAAACAAATATTCAACACAATAAATAATAACCACTAAAATGATCCCATTCATACAGGGTGTCCCACGAAACATGACAGTTGTTGAATAATTTTAAATGTCTTCTTCCATATACTGTATATTAAAGACTTTTTGCAGTTTATTTCCCTGCCAGCTTGAGGATGATCACAAACAGCTTTTTATAAACCTAAATATATTTTATCTATAAATTCAATTTGTCTCTATAAATTGTTACTTAGTACATAAATAGATATCTAAGATATAATAATATCATTGATTTATCAATTGAAGGGAAAAGAATAAGTTTCTAAAAATGCAAACTCCATTCTTTCACATAAAAATAAAAATTGCCAAATAATTTATTTCAAAAAATTCTTAGTTCTTTTTTAATTTGAATTCAAAATTATTCGTTACACAACATTTTGGTAACAAAACTTAATTTTTTCCTACTTTTTCCCCCATTCTTCTTTCTTTCAATTTTCTGATTTTCTGTTAATTTTTTCATTCTCTTATTTTCTCAGTTACGGGCCTGAGATAGAAAGATAGATAGATTGAAATTGCAATTTGACCCATTCAGCAGGTGAGCTAGCGAAGCAATGTCCTGGACCGTTCAAAAATACAAAAATATATTATTTAAAGAAAAAATTTTACTCCGAGCATTAATATTTTAAAAATGTCTCATCTGTTTTTAAACATATTTTTATTATTTTAGATTTAGTTTTCTGTTTGAATATTTCTTGAGAAGTTTTAATGTTTGTGGAGAGAGTTTAAGGACAGACTAGCTGGCCGGGCAGAATAGGGCAGACCGGCCCCTTGCAGTGGGTTTCAGGCAGCTTTACACGGTACATAGTGAACATATAGGCATACAACACATTTATTACATGTACATACAGTTTACAAGGTGTACAGTACATGTTGTACTTGATGGTTAAGTAAATTGTGATAAACTATAAAGTTTGAAAATATTTGTTGATAATTATTTGAACTGATCTCATGTGAGACTTTGAGAACCAAGCTTTTTTACGTTTAACAAAAGTACTCTTCTAACGGTTAGAACGATGTAATATAAAACTGTTTGGTTGTCTACTTGGGATGGGACAAATAGCAATATTCTTGCCGCCTAAGCTGTCGAAATCCACATGACTAGAAAAGCTTCATCTGTAATTTGTCAGAAAATCAAAATATCTTGATGATCAATAACTTTTTAAGGTTGTGTGTCTCTGTATAGTGTGTATTGTTGATGACACTTTATAGATGAAGTATCAACTATCATTGTAATTTTGTAAACAAACCATTCAGAAATTTTTATTTTTTTAATGTGGGTTAAAAGTGAACATTCATTGACGTAAAATAATTCTTTTTTTGGGGGGTTTGATATAAAATCAAAATTTTTTTACATGTTTTTAAATTTTTTTTTTAGTTTCCCACTAACGCTTCTCGATTTAAGAGTTAAAAATCAATAAATATTTTTGGCTAAATACAAAAACTCAAGAATATTTTTATCTAATAAGCCAACAATAAAAATAAATACTTGATCTGTTAACTTACAATAACAATAAGATAAAAAAATGTCTATTTTGTTTAGAGTTGCAAACAATACTATTTATATACTTTTTAGCAATCATGCATAAGGTTATTAAAAGCATTTAATAAAGTAAATTATTTCTATAATAAAAACCCTCTACTTTGGATTGAAAGTCTCCAGCAATGAAAATTATTTTATCTAAAGCATTGATATTAAGAAATTTTTGGGCAAATTGCATTGAGGATTATATTAATAATTTTTTATCCAAATTTGATGAATGAAAATGTTTGAATGGCTTTTAATAATGAGTTAATGATATGTGGGAAAAGTTTTTTATTGATTAATTGATCAATTGATCGATTGATAAATAAGTTTATTAAATGATTTATAAATTGATTTAATAATTAGTTGATTAAATAGTGGTTTTGATGGATTGACTAATTAATTGATTAAATGGTTGATTGATTAATTAACTAATTAGTTGATTAAATAGTGGTTTTAATTGATTTACTTATTGATTGATTAACTGGTTGATTGATTGATTAATTAATTAGTTGATTAAATATTTGGTTGATTAATTAATGAATTAGTTGATTAAATGATTGGTTGATTGATTAATTAATTAGTTGATTATATGGTTGATTGATTGATTAATAAATTAGTTGATTAAATGGTTGATTGATTGATTAATTAATTAGTTGATTAAATGTTTGGTTTATTGATAAATCTATTAGTTGATTAAATGGTTGATTGATTAATTAATAAATTAGTTGATTAAATGATTGGTTGATTGATTAATTAATTAGTTGATTAAATGATTGATTTATTGATTAATTCATTGATTAATCAATGCGTTTATTAAATGATTGATTGCTTAGTTTATTCATTAAACAGTTCATTAAATAATTGATTGATTGATTAAATGATTGATTTGTTCATTGATTAATTAAATAGTTCATCAAATGATTAGTTGGTTACTTGATTGATAATTAAGTTTATTAAATGATTGGTTGATTTATTCCTTAAATAGTTCATTAAACAATTGATTGATTGATTAAATGATTAATTGGTTCATTAAATGATTGATTGATTGATTAAATGATTAATTAATTGGTTGAATGAATGTGTTGGTAGTTGAAGGAAGACGATCAGGATGCCGCTGATGCTTGAGTTAAAATACGAATACTTCCCGAACACGTGGCCGGGAAGGATAAAGCTTGGAGAACTGGTAAGCTGTGATCTAATAATTTGATCAATGAAAGGAACTGAGTCTTTGTCACAATTTTTCTAACCTTTGTAAGAAGTTGGTGTAAACCTTTGACATTTAAAATCATAGAAAATATAATAAAAGGCATGTTTTCATTAAATGAATTAAAGATAACTTCATTTTTTTTGAAATATTTTTCTGAATTTTTAGCACGCCTTTGCAGAGTTTAGACTTTTTTTGAGTTGAAAACATAAATACAGAGTTTTTACTTTCTTTTCAGATTTCAGGATTAACAAAAGAAAACTGTCTATGATTAGTTCGGAATTTGACCTTTGTAACAATGCTTGTAATCCAGAATAAGGAAAATATTTTCAAACAAAACTACTGATTAATGGATTTTAGAGGAAAACAGAACAAATTATTTCATAGACGCGCGTAATTTCAAGTGACCGTTTCAGCAAATATTGCAACGCCCGATTTACAACGGTACCCGCCCGTAAAAGTTTTGTTCGATCAATTATGAATTATATATGCATGTTTTTGTCATATTTAAACTGTTAATTTTCATTTGTGGATTCTCTGCTAAAGTGACTTGCGCATTTCTTGCTTATAAGAAGCAATGGAGAAATTATCAGAATTGAACACTTTTCAAGTCAGAAAAACGACGGTACCTTCCTCATTTTTTACCAGATTAAGGTTTCAAAGGTCCCGTTGTAAATCGGGCATTGCTATCTTTCCATCTTTGCATGGGGGTCACTTGAAATTACGCTTACAGTCCCTTTAAGGCAGATCAAAATGTTTGATAAATAGAAGGACAAGAAAGTTTAAAAGAGAGGGAAGAACAAAGTATTATAATTGATGCGGGGGATGTTTTGAAAATACCTGGAAATTAGAGATATGCAATGACGGGGAAATGACAAGGGAGGGAGGGAAGGCAAGTCATGCCAATTTTGCTTCCGAGCCCCTTCAAATTTTACCGGCAAACTTTGATAATTTGCAAATATTTTTCCACTCACGCAATCTCAGTCATGCAAAGTTCAGAATGACAAAATGTTTTGGATGTTATGGATTTTATCTGAACCCAAAGAACGTTTCACTGCATTAAAGGAGGAAAAGCAAATTTATAACGAAGATAAAGCAGGGATGGTAATTTGGAAGGGGCTCGGACGCAAAATTAATGTGGCGCTTATTTCTCCCTCGAAAGCAGTGTGGGGGAGGTGGTGGTGTAGTGGGACGTAGAAAAGACAATTGAACTCATAGAAATAGTTTCTAAGTTTATTATCCCCCCCCCTTTCCTTTCTCCAAACACTAATGAGGATGTAAAATCAAAATGAAGTTTATACAATAGAAAGGAGAATGCCATCTAATATATAATATCTAAATATCTAAAGGTTTGTACATTTTGGAAAATATTTTTAAATGTACAAAACTTGCCAAACTCTTGGAATTAAAATCTGTGATTGAAACCAAAAAAATAAGTTTAGCTATAACCATACAGGTTTTAAACAGGTCGTTATGAGAGTAAATTTGTGAAGAATAAGGGAAAACGGTAACCGTTTTGGAATACTGATTCAAGCTATATGCCATAAAAATATTTACATTGGCACTGGAAACTAAAAACTGTGAATTTTGACCATCACTGTTTCAATCTTTATATCTGGAGCCAGGGTCTAGGCCAGTTCTTTTGAATCCATATTGGCTTTTTTCTGATTGTAATATGTGGCAATCTTTTATTGAAATTGTAAATATTTAAATAAATTCTTACTTTTGTAATTGATTTTTTATTTTTAGGTTTTGGGATTATTGTGCATGATGTGCGCAGCTCCTGCTTATTATGCCACGCAACATTGGTTTCTACTAGTTGTTACATTTGCATTCATAGGTAGCCATCTTACATTTTCACTATAGGTAGCCATCTTACATTTTCATTATAGGTAGCCATCTTACATTTTCATTATAGGTAGCCATCTTACATTTCCATTATAGGAAGTCATCTTACCTTTTCATTATAGGTAGCCACTTTACATTTTAATTATAGGTAGCCATCTTACATTTTCATCATAGGTAGCCATCTTACATTTTCATTATAGGTAGTCATCTTACCTTTTCATTATAGGTAGCCATCTTAAATTTTCATCATAGGTAGCCATCTTACCTTTTCATTATAGGTAGCCATCTTACATTTTCATCATAGGTAGCCATCTTACCTTTTAATTATAGGTAGCCATCTTACATTTTCATTATAGGTAGCCTTCTTACATTTTCATTATTGGTTTTCATCTTACCTTTTCATTATAGGTAGCCACTTTACATTTTCATTATAGGTAGCCATCTTACATTTTCATTATAGGTAGCCAACTTACATTTTCATTATAGGTAGCCATCTTACATTTTCACTATAGGTAGCCATCTCACATTTTTATTATAGGTAGCCATCTTACATTTTCATTATAGGTAGCCATCTTACATTTTCATTATAAGTAGCCGTCTTACATTTTCATTATAGGTAGCCATCTTACATTTTTATTATAAGTAGCCATCTTACATTTTAATTATAAGTATCTATATTACACTTTCATCATAGGTAGCCATCTTACATTGTCAATATAATACATTTATTCATATATACTAGGCTTTTAGGGCGCTTCGCGCCCATCTTCTATTTCAACTTTTAATTGTGGCTTTTTCTCTGAACATCTTCTCTTTGTATAAAACAAAAACAAAAAAGTTTGCGGGTTTCATAATATTTTTTTGCGCATTTTCAAAATTTTTCAAAAATAAAAACTTTTAAACACAAATTTTTAAAATTTTGATCATTCATAAACCTTCCCTGGGGTCACGTGAGGTCCCACACAAAATTTGGGCCCGATCGGTTCAGCCGTTTTGACGTTTATTGGATACAAACAGACAAACAGACAAGCTAAATTTATATATAGATATATACTCGTATATATATATGTTAGCTATATCTGGCCAAACGGCTGGACCAAAAATACATACGTACATAAATTTGACTATTTTAGGTTCTTTGTTTTTCTCTGTGTACTATTTATGTCTGGCTGAACCCCTCAACAAGCTGGGAGTAAACTGGGTGATGGCGGTAAGTTATAAAATTTATGGAAATTTTTCAAAAGAAATAAAAACATTTTATCTTTATAGTTTAAAACTAATAAGTTAAGTATTCATAAATATCTGTAATCTGTATCTATCTAGATATCTGTTTGTGTACTTTCTGTATATAAAACTCTCCACATCTAAACGTATATGGTACCTTCATATCTGTATACTCTATATTTATGATCTCTATTCATATCTGTATACTGTATATTTATGATCTCTATTAATATCTGTATACTCTATATTTATGAACTCTCTTCATATCTGTATACTCTATATTTATGATCTCTCTTCATATCTGTATACTCTATATTTATGATCTCTATTCATATCTGTATACTCTATATTTATGATCTCTATTCATATCTGTATACTCTATATTTATGATCTCTCTTTATGTTTGTAATCTGTATACTCGGCTTTTGAACCAGTTTTTAAATGTAAGCCACAGTTTAATTAGAAATATTTACTTAATGCGCATGTAATTGATCTCCATAACCCAACCAATTTCTTTCTTTTGTAAGTTATTGGTTTTCATTGCCCTCCAGGTCGTCAAAACAGAAAACTTTCCTTTTAATTTTCATTTTCTTGTATTAAATATGCCAAATGAAGCTTAATCTAAAATTTAATGGGTTTTTGACACCTTGTCATATATCTGTCATCTAGAATAATTATAATTGTGAATACAGGCTTTCATCTGTCTTTTCAAGGTGGGTTGAGGTGTTTACTGTTAATGTCATTACTTTTTACATTCTGATCTTTAAGGGTTGTACCATCTTTTATTTGATTTTCTTGGTTAATTTTGAGTTTTTCTTAAAAGACCCTTTTTATAGATATAGTCTCTCTAAAACTGTTTATATATATGTATATCTATGATCTCTCTAAAAACCATATTTATTGACTGCTGAGGATCGAGAGATCTGACACAAATTGTATTGATAAATATGAAAACTGAGAAGCTGCTCTGATTATTGCTTTATAGTTATGATCTCTCTCTATATATGAATACTCTGTATCTTTGAGCTGTCATTTATTTATAGACTCAGGGGTTCAGGAGTTCTGGTTTACAACTGTCTATATGTTTATATACTCTATGGTTCAGGATTTCTGGTTTACTACTGTCTATATATTCATATACTCTATGGTTCAGGAGTTCTGGTTTACTACTGTCTATATATTCATATACTCTATGGTTCAGGAGTTCTGGTTTACTACTGACTATATATTCATATACTCTATGGTTCAGGAGTTCTGGTTTACAGCTGGCAGCACATTCTTCTATTTCACCGCCTTCCTCGCTCAGCTCGTCGACTTCGCCGGGTGGGAGGACGAGGAGTTTCAGTACTGGATAGATGCACAGATAACAGCTGGGGTAGGTTAATATCTAGACAGATAACAGCTGGGGTAGGTTAATATCTACACAGACAACAGCTGGGGTAGGTTAATATCAAGACAGATAACAGCTGGGGTAGGTTAATATCTAGACAGATAACAGCAGGGTAAGGTTAACATCCAGACAGATAACAACTGGGGTAGGTTAACATCAAGACAGATAACAGCTGGGATAGGTTTACATCTAGACAGATAACAGCAGGGGTACGTTAACATCTAGACATATAACAGCTGGGGTAGGTTAATATCTACACAGACAAAAGCTGGGGTAGGTTAACATCTAGACGGATAACAGCTGGGGTAGGTTAACATCAAGACAGATAACAGCTGGGGTAGGTTAATATCTACACAGACAACAGCTGGGGTAGGTTAATATCTAGACAAATAACAGCTCAGGTAGGTTAACATCTAGACAGACAACAGATGGGGTAAGTTAACAACTAGAAATCTAACAGCTGGGGTAGGTTAACATCTAGACAGATAACAGCAGGGTTAGGTTAATATCCAGACAGATAACAGCTGGGGTAGGTTAACATCAAGACAGATAACAGCTGGGATATTTCATATCTAGACAGATAACAGCAGGGGTAGGTTAACATCTAGACAGACAACAGCTGGGGTAGGTTAATATTATGACAGATAACAGCTGGGGTAGGTTAACATCTTTACAGATAACAGCTGGGGTAGGTTAATATCAAAACAGATAACAGCTGAGGTAGGTTAACATCTAAACAGATAACAGCTGGGGTAGGTTAACATCTAGGCAGACAACAACTGACGTAGGTTAAGATGTTTTCTCTGCCTCTTTGACTGTTTGATCATGTGATCTTTAGTTTGTTCTCTTTCTAGCAAATGCCAGTGCTAGCAAATGCCAATGACTTAAATCAGATTGAAAGGAAGCAACCTCGGGCTTTTGAAAGGAAAGATTGTTAACGGAATGTATCTCTCCAAGCAATTATGTAAACCTGCAACATTCCTGAATTCTGTAAATATCTGCATTGTGCAAATAATGTATATTTGCAATCTGCATTGTGCATTGTACATACAATGTGCAATGTGCATGTTTTCAGTGTAAAAAAAGTAAAAAAGTGCTGGGCACAATTTTGAAAAAACGTTTGCTCCATGCTTTTTACAATAATGGCCTTCAGACCATTCGTTCTTTTCCAAATCATCGCATTCTAAAATATTTGTTTCTATTTTTATATTAACGATTGTCTAAGATTTTCATCGTTCGAAAACGTCTATTGTGTTTTCTTTTGTTGATTGTTAAAGATGCACAGAGTTATTTTATGACAATTTAATATTTTAGTGCACCTTCTTGTTTGTTAATATAACTGTCGTGAACAAGATAATAACCCCATTTTTAATCCAAATATAGTTCGTTTAATGTTCGCTAAAGGAAATTCAGTTCGTCATTGGAAAAAACGATCGTTCCTCATTAACGCCGCCTAGTCTTATTTGTGGGTAACATTGTGAAGATTCTCCTTGAATCGTGCTAAAAAAGACATATGTCCTAGCTCCGTGTGTAAACTAAATATTTTATCTGCTTCTTAAATATTTTATAAACTACATGCTTTCTTCAGTGTGCCTTTCTTTGACCCTGTGTATATGTTTGTAGTTTAAGAGATAAGAGATCTAAATATTTAAAAATAATGGATAGCAGAAAATTATTTCCAATTATGAACTGCTGAAATATAACTTGAAGTTTATCTCAAGCTTTTAATTTTACTTAAACCTCATATGTGATATGATGAGTCAGATCTGACCAGCAGCAGTTGAAGTCTGACCGGCGCGGCGAATTTACTTATTTGATCAAATATGGCCGCGTAAGCCATACTTTAAGATGTCATTAATATTGATTTATGAAAAAAGTTCTCCGTGTGCATATTTTCTTAAATCCTTGATATTTAATGTTGGATGTTAGATCTAATTAGACAGATCGATGTTTTCACTAAATAACTTTTTTCCAGGTATTTGGACTTATGAACACTGTACTGTATGGTGCCGGTGGCTACCTAATCTATGTAGACTGGCAACGAAACCCTACTGGTCTTGCCCCAACTCCTACCCCAGCATAAAAGGCTGTGATAACTGATCAACCAAACCAAATTTAGCTGTCGTCTTCCTCAAAAAATGCGTAAATTCTGTGTAAGCTTCACAAAGACGCGGCATCATCAAGAAATAAGAACACTCACAACCAACCCACTGCCAAGCCTTGTGACTTTATAACTTAGAGCTTTGGAGAAAATTTTTTTAATAGATGTACCAAATAGGCTGACAACCCACTCTGAAAAATAAAAAATTTAGAATATTGTGTGAAAGGTTGTACTATGTACATGAACCCTGAACTTGAGAGCGAAATAGTGATCTAAAAAGATTTGGTAGAATAAAGGAATGAATGATTTATTTTGATATTTACTATAAATGCATTAGAGAAAGAATTGAGGGAATGAATTTGTAGCTAAAAGAAAAAACAGTGTCTTCATATTCCTTTATGAAAACATGGAAAGATGTTATTTTTCATATTTTCATGACCGACAAAGTTCTCAGTACTGTAATGTTATAAAAACTAACTAAAAAAGAACTGTAACCGTTAATGAAAAAAATTTAATTTTCAAAACCCGATTTGATACTTCTCTAAAAAGGGGCCATTTGATTAATATTTCTGACTGCCTAACCAGAAATAAATTGTTAAAAATTAATTCAAGAAAGAAGCAGAAAGTATGGCTCGTGGAAGATACTACATGTCCCGCATTTTAAATAAAAGTGGAATTAATAGTTGAACTCAGTCTTTGGCACACATTCTGATTTATTAATTCTTTACAACCCAATGTTGCAGACCTTTGATATTTCAAACTATGAGTTCTGTTGGATCAAATAATCAAAGCTTTAAATTCAACGCTTCACACCATCAGGTTGCAAAGATATATGGATTAGAAAATTTGAGTTTGTGGCTTAGACTCAGCCCGTTTCAAAAAGTTTGAGTTCAGGTTAAGGACTTTCTAATTGATTTCTCTAGAGTTTAGGTATAGATCTTTCTCTGAGATATCTCTAGAGTTTAGGTATAGATCTTTCTCTGAGATTTCTCTGAGTTTAGGTATAGATCTTTCTCTGAGATATCTCTAGAGTTTAGGTTTAGGACTTTCTATTTGATTTCTCCAGATTTAGGACTTTATCTGGGATATCTCCAGAGTATAGGTTTAGGACTTTCTAGTTGAATTCTTTAAAATTTAGGATTAGGACTTTCAGTGTAATTTGTTTAGAGTTTAGGTTTAAGACTTTATAGTTTTTTTTTCTCTAGAGTTTAGGTTTAGGACTGTCTAGTTGATTTCTCTACAGTTCAGGTTTAGGACTTTGTAATTGATTTCTCTAGAGTTTCGGTTTAGGACTTTCTAGTTGATTTTTCTAGAATTTAAGTTTTGGCCTTTCTCTGGAATATCTCTAGAGTTTAGGTTTAGGACTTACTAGTTGATTTCTATAGAGCTTAGGTTTAGGACTTTCTAGTTGATTTCTATAGAGCTTAGGTTTAAGACTTACTAGTTGATTTCTCTAGAGTTCAGGTTTAGGACTTTCTCTGGTATATCTCTAGAGTTTAGGTTTAGGACATTCTAGTTGATTTCTATTGAGTTCAGGTTTAGGACTTTGTTTTTAGAGTTATTCAAGTTTGGCACAGTTTATAAATTTGCTTCAATTTTTGATTTCAGACCTTTTTTCAAAAGAGCGTAAACCTATTTAGTTAATAACTTCAGAATTCAGGTTTAGACTTTTTTATCTTTAAGTTGATAAATTTTTGGTTTAGAATATTTTAGTCTGTATTTGCCTATATATTCAGTTTAATAAGTTTTATTTATTTTTGGGATCATAAATCATCAGAAGAAAGGACTTAAGTTCGTGAAAAATGAAAAGGGGGGTTAGGTTAAGTTTTAATCGTTCGAATTCGATCGTTACTAATTTTAATTCTTTCTGTCGAGATTAAGAGGAGAAAATGATTAAAAATACCTGATGTGACTCCACGTAAATTCAATAAGTTACTTTATACCACTAAACCAAATATAGTTCAGCCTAACCCCCCTTTTATTACTCGCGAATACTCCTTTAACGAGTAAATTCTGAAGAATTGCAGGAACTAGGAGTGCTTGTTGATTTCTCTAGATTTATTGGTGGTTTAAGTTTCTCTTGGTACCGGGTTCAGTACTTCTAGGAGATCCGATATATTTCACTATATTCCTTTATTAGTTATTATCTTTCGAAGATATTTTAGGAGATAGTGAACATTTTATAAAACATTTTTATTTTTTATTTTAACATATTTGATAGTTTTCGGGAAATGCAGGTCTTATAGAATTTCAAAGGATTGTTTCTAGGCACACATGGGTTCCAATACCCTGAGCATCTTCAAGATCCATCCGTCCCGTCCTGTCCTTGAACTTGTTGTACCGGCACGGGGCGCGCGCAGTCTCCAGACGCGCACAGTCCTCCTTCTACGCTCAACTAGGATGGATAAGTGAGAAAAAAGTTAGTTAGAGAAAGTTAAAATATTTATGGTTTTGATTTGATTAGTGAACATTATGCTGATCCTTCTAGCTCTAGGTCTACTAAACCACTGTGATGCCAACCCTAATACCAACCTACTGGAGAACAATATCCTTAAATATCCAATATTTGAGGAAATGTTAAATTATCAAACCTCACACATTCATCAGAGATCTCGACGCCAAGTTGGAGGAACAGCTCGGAGTGATGTTGTCGATATAGATGATACGGAATCCTTCCACGGACCTGACGTCACACTCCCGGAGATATCCTTCCGGGACATGGCGGGGTTCGTGGAGGAGGCTCGGAGAACTGTAGAAGAGAGGTTTGATGTACTAGAGAAGGAGATCTACAGAAGTAGTGCTAGACAAGAACCAGGATCTCCGGAGTGGTTTATGGCAGCTTCAACTAAAACTAAGGAATACAATTTAGAAATTTAGATTAAAAAATCTCAAACACAATGTCTCTTTTGACCAAGTATTTCAAAAAGCATTTATAATTTTAATTGGAATCTCTCTATATATATATTATACATGATGATGAAACGATAGAGCTCTAATTTGGTGTGGTTGTTCAGGATTAAAATGTTTCTTAACTTGAAAAGGAATTGAGTCTTTGCAACAAACTCAAATGTTCCAATTTTTTATCTAAACCACCTGATGTCGTAAACCTTTAATGTTATAAACTGTATAGATTATTTGATCTGACAGAATGTATAGTTTGAAATATCTAAGGTACCCGGCATTGGGTTGCAGAGATATAGGAATTAGAAAATCAGAGTTTGTGGCAAAGACTCAATTCCTTTGCAAGAAAAATATCTGCAGAATTCTTTAGGATTGTGACCTGAGAGCAAAATTAAATAATATACAATAGCGAGAAGTCTTTCAACAACGAACAGTGAGTTTAACCAGTTCTCTTGTACACCGGTTCAAGTTTAAAATCGAGAAGTTGCTCAACTTAATTTGTCTAGTTCAACCTCAACTCAACATTACCACTGATTGTCTGTACATAAACAATCCAAAATTTGTATATTTAACTAATAACCGGGAAGCTTTAAATGGATGGATCGTTTGAACTCATTCTTTCCATGAAGGGAGAATAAGATTAACTTATTCCATTCAGTCAAAAGTTCCCAACCAAGAGGTCAGAACTGATGAACAAGATATAGTTGAACCAGTCGCACCTGGTTAAACACCCTCCTCCTCCCCTCCTCTTGTCACGTGATATTTAACTATCTTTTTAAACTATAAGCAAACTTTTAAACAGAGACATTGAATTTTCCATTTTTTTCGTGTTTCCTCTTTTCAACTTTTCTACAGTTGCAATTCAACCATTCAAAGCAAACTATTCCAATTTTCCTTGTTGTAAGTTAATCCAATCCAATAATAAACCAAACCTTGTTCACAACCGTACATAGATGGAGTACATAATAAATCAGATTTTCTTAGATCTACCCTTAAAGAATATAGTCCCAAATCTAAAGAAATTTAGTCTTTGCCACAAACTCAATTTTTTCTTATCCCTATATCTTTACAACCTGACGGTGAAAACTTGTGATATTTAAAACTAAGACTATTTGATATGACAAAATTCACAGTTTAAAATATCTAAGGTCTACGACATTGGGTTGCAAAGATATAGGGACTAGAAATCAGAGTTTGTGCAGTGTCAAAGACTTAATTCCTTTAAGTGTCCTCTTTATTCAGCAAACCCCATAAATTAGAAACTTTAAACAAAACTTGTTCAGAAACCAAGTTTTGAGGTCTGCATAATCTATAGATTTCAGTTGAGCAAAAACTAACTTATTGACTGATTCTCCAATAAGTCAGGCTGATTTGATTTGATCATTGATCATTGCCCGGTTTCATGAACCATCAAACATTTGAATCTTTAATTCTTTAAACCGATTGTTGAAACATTTAGATCTTTAATCCTCTTATCTTTTCAACTTTTAAACCTTTAAATTTTTAAACCTCTGAACATTTAAAACTGTAAACCTGTAAACCTTTAAACCTTTAAACCTTTTAAACTTTAAACCGTTAAACCTTCAAACTTTTAAACATTTAAACCTTTAAACCTTTAAACTTTCAAACCTCTTATCCTTTAAACTTTGAAAACATTTAACCTGTAAACTTTTAAACCTTTAAACCTTAAAACCTTAAATGCTTTAAACATTTGAACCTTTAATATTTTAAACCTTTAAACCTTTACACCTATAAACTTTAATCCTTTAAACCTTTAAATCTTAAAACCTGTCAACCTTTAATCCTTTATTCCTTGAATCATGTAAACCTTTAAATTTAAACCTTCAACCCTTTAATCCTTTATTCATTTAAACCTTTAAACCTTTAAACATTTAAACTTTAAAACATTAAACCTTAAAACCAGTAAATCTTTACACCTTTAAATATTTAAACTTTTAAACATTAAACCTTTAAACCTTTAAACCTTTTATCCTTTATTCCTTTAAACCTTTAAACCTTTAAACATTTAAACTTTCAAACATTAAACCTTAAAACCTGTAAATCTTTACACCTTTGAAACTTTTAATCCTTTTAATATTTAAACCTTCAAACCTTCAACCATTTAATCCTTTAACCCTGCAAACTTGTAAACCTGTTAGCCTGTGAACCTGTAAACCTGTGAACCTGTAAACCTGTAAACCTGTAAACCTGTAAACCTTGGGGGAGGGGTAAAGGTCGGGGCACACATTGAAAAGAAGAATTTTGAACATAGAAGTTCCTTGTTTTCAATGTAAATGGAGATTTTTGTTGTACTTCCAGATAAGATCTTTTCCGGGCCAAAAAAATCCCGAAAAGTCCAAAATTTAAGAAAAATCCATAAACATGTGAATAAATGATTCTGTATAGGGTCTGATGGGGTATTCAGGGAAGTTTACAGATAAGGAATTTTAGAATAATTTATCAAAGACTCTCTGATTCAAATCTTTAAAAAGAAATTATCTAAACCTACCCCCCCCCCCTTTATCCAACATCTGACCTCCCTCCCATCTTTTTACCATCTATATGTATAGTATACCTCCCACAGTCGCTTTCTATGCTCCTACACCAAAATCTACTGGTTTCCAAGCAAAGAGAATAGAATATATATTAGAGTGGAATTTAGTCAATTCTCTTTGATTCCAAGTGTCCAGATTAAGACAATTGAAAGAAAAATTATGTCTCAGGGAACAGCGCTGTACATGTCTCGTTCTTATCATATCACTGCAAGGGTCTTTTTCGGATAATGTCATCAAAGTGTCCATTTCTTTTATAATTATTAATGTAATTAATTATTGATTAAAATAAGTGACATTTCGCTACAAACTAAAATTTTCTAATCCTTATACCTTTGCAACCTGATATTTTGATATTTCAAACTTTCTAACAGCATTCATAGTTAGATATATCAAAGGTCTACGACAATTGGTTGCACAGATAAAGGGATTATAGAAGATCAGAGCTTATGGCAAAGACTGCAGAATCCATTGCCCTAGGTCCAAATTAAGATTCAAGATTTTAAATCAACAAGTTTTGGTTTCCTGTGAAATACAAATACCAACAATTGAAAATGTAACATCGTAAAAGTAAAAGATTCTAATTGATGATTACTTTATGTGCAGGATTGGATTTGTCTTATTTTATACAAGATTGGATTCGTCTTATTTTATGCAGGATTGGATTTGTCCTACTATATGCAGTTCTGATGTTACTTTGCAAAGGATTTAAGAAAATCCATCTTAAACTTATCCTATAACAACGATCACACGAAAATACTTTAAACATGTTTTTTATATTTCAAACAATTTCAATGAGACTTATTACTCATTTTTAATTACAATTTGTCCATGTACACGGTATGCTCCATTTTTTAATGTACCATTCTTTTTTCTCTTTCACTCTGCCACTTTTTTCATGATGATCTTTTTAATGTATAGTATTCCAAATGAATTCACATCCTCTTGAAAGGACTGTCTGTTTTATTTTATGTGATCCTCCATTTAAAGATTGCCATACAACTGTACCCTAAACATGCTCAATTCACAGATGTACCCTAAACATGCTCAATTCACAACTGTACCCTAAACATGCTCAATTCACAACTGTACCCTAAACATGCTCAATTCACAACTGTACCCTAAA